AGACTGACAACCCCGGTGCCTGGCTTATGCACTGCCACATTTCCTGGCACGTCGATGGCGGTCTTGCTCTTCAGTTTGTTGAGAGACCTGATGACATTCCTGTGAAGAAGTATGTTGATCAATCATTTGAAGATGAGTGTTCGGCGCTAGATGCCTACGAGGGTTCCAACCCCCAAGGTGCCAAGTTTTCTGGTAATTCCGGTCTTAAGGCTCGTGGATTTACAGATGAGTTGGATATCGAGGTCTTCCGCCCCGATGCTAAGATCGACATTAACAAGTACCGAAAGCGATATTCCCACCGTCGCCTACATTAAATGACCAAAATCCCAAGTCAACGGCATCTGCACGCAGCAACAGCGGTGAAGTAAATAATGGGAGGATTCTGGTAATGCAACTCATGTATGCTAGCATAGTTTTTGCATATCTTTCGTCATGTCCATTTCTGTTCAATCTAGGAATTGGAGACATTTTCATAACAGGTGATTGAGTGCAACATCACTGCCGTCCTTAAGTACGGTGTCTGAAGCTCTTTTTTAAATACGATGGATGTATAAATCCAACCAACACTTCCGGGTAGAACCCACATTCTTACACAGCACATGACAATCTACTTGGTACTAGGTTCGCAAACGACCTCGGCCTCCTTTTCCCCAACTCTTCGTCCCCGATAATCTATGTTTCCATCTCCATACTTGCGCCGCTCTCCACCTTGCGTTTGCGCAGCATGTGGAGGCCCTCCACCCTCCATGGGGAAATCCTACGAGTCCCACGAGTCCCATCTCTCAGATCTAAGATGCCCTGACATTGCCCACAGTGCACCAATGAGGGGTTCCGTTCAGTTCCAAACCTGGGGTCTCAATCTTGCCCTTGAAAACCCTCGCACTCTCCATTGTCTTTGGGTAGCCTTCTCGCGAAGTGTGGTGGCTCCTTGACCGTATTGATATCGACACTCTCCTTGACATTCTGAAGCCTAGCTTTAGAAGAGAGCTTTGTCACAGTTAGGAAAGAGGGAAATCACCATGGCCGCCAATCCTATGCTCCGCTCAATTGGACTCGAAAATGCCTCATTTGTCAAATTTGTATTGGCAAGCTTTGTTGCTTTCCCTCTGCTGTTCGTTATCGGCTTCTACCTATGGGTCACCCCGAGCTCGTTGAAAGACTCACGACGGAAACACCTTCCGCCAGGTCCTCGTGGTTTACCCTTCCTTGGGAACTTCTTTGAAATGTCCAAGGCTGAAACGTTTCGATTTCGGGCGCAAAAGTGGGCAAAGGACTATGGTGAAATTTTCTATACCAAGATGGGAGGAGCTGACTACATCTACTTGTCATCTCCTACTGCGGTAAAGGAATTGATGGACAAGAAATCTGGAATATACTCCTCACGACCACCAGCGCCGCTTGCTAGCGATGTCGCATCCGCTGGTAGACGACAACTGTTTATGCCGTATGGACCCAAATATCGTGTTGTCCGAAAGATTGCGCACCAACTCCTCAACATCACTGTTTCCACCAGCTACCAACCAGTTCAAGATCTGGAATCCAAGCAACTGATGTACGATCTGCTCCACGACCCGGAACACTTCTACGATCATAACCGGCGCTACTCATCAAGCGTTATCCTTACCGTGGCATATGGTCATCGGATGGCAGATTGGGACAATCCATTGGTGAAGAAGATTTACAGTGTGGTCAACAACCTGCAGCAATTCTCCGCTCCTGGTGCCTTCCTCGTTGACACGTGGCCCTCGTTGCGATATTTTCCCCAATGGATGTTTGGTAATTGGCGAAAATTCGGCGAGAAATGCTTTGCTCATGATTCGGTTGTCTATCTTAAACTCTGGGGCGATTTGAAGAAAGAGGTAGACGAAGGGAAAGCCAATCCATGCTTTGCGAAGGACTTTTACCTGAGCGATCCCGAAAAGCTCGGGTTGGACCAGCTCCAAGCTGCGTATCAAACTGGTGGCCTGGTGGAGGCTGGTTCCGAAACAACATCGGCCTTCTTGAACTCTTGGATTTTGACTATGACCCTGAACCCTCATATTATGAGAAAGGCTCAAGAAGAGGTCGATCGAGTAGTTGGAGAAGACAGACTGCCTACGTGGGAAGACGAGCAAAATCTACCCTATCTCAGAGCCATGATCAAGGAATTGCTTCGTACCCGCCCACCCAACAAATTTGGCATGCAACACTACACGACAGAAGATGACTGGTTTAAGGGCTACTTCATCCCCAAGGACACGGTGGTTGTCTTGAACTGGTGGTGAGTCTAATTTTCGTATGGCCCCGCAAGATCTTTCTGACGTACGTACAGGGCAATAAACTACGATCCGTCTCATTGGGACAAACCAGATGAGTTTATGCCGGAGCGCTTCCTCGGCTACGATCTACCGGCCGCCTCCTACATCAATATTGGAGATCCCAACCAGCGCGACCACTTCTCGTACGGAGCTGGAAGGCGAGTTTGTCCGGGTGTGCATGTGGCCGAAAAGTCCCTATATCTGAACATCGCCCGTGTCTTGTGGGCGTTCAACATCTCTAAGAAAGTAGGCAAAGATGGCAGTCTGATTGAGCCAAACACCGCGATGGTCCCAGGCTGGATGACAATCCCACAGCCGTTTGAATGCGATATTACTGTAAGATCAGAAAAGAAGGCGGCATTGATCAACAATATTTGGGCAGAGGCCAAGAGAAACCTTGACGGGAAATAGTCGATATTTTGATAGGCATGCAGCCTTGCCATGTTTAGCAATATATCTAATAATTCCATTCTGTTCAATTTCCTTCAACTTGTCACATTCCCACATCTCATCATACAGCGACCTTAGAAAGGCTACAAGGTTCGTGTTACGAGTTCAGTCCTCCTCAATGTACAGTATGGAGTATGGACCACTGATGGACCATCTCCGCTTGTCTAAGTCCTCAGACCTAATATCGGGGTTACGCCCTGATTGGCTAGGCTACGAGCTAGAGCACCGGCCAATTAAAAATTCAACAAGACAGTGGGCCCTGCTTAATTAAGGCAACTAAGCCGAGGGGTCTGAGAACCAACATAAATCTCCGCCAGATAGAAGAAACTATTCGGCAAAGTTTCCGTATCTTGGATAGTACGTCTGAGCAAGGCGACCTTACGCGAATTTTAACATCAGAGCAGGCGAGACTTGTCGCGTCAGTTGTCTGCCTTCAAATTGAATAATTAAATAGTTGTTTTCTTACGATTTTTTTTGTTCCATAAGCAAAAGTCGTCAGGCTAAGCACAACAATCAGCCCACACACTTCTTCTGATCCTCTGCCGTCTCCCTGCTTGGCCGCTCAGCTCTCCATCATGCCTGCCACAACCGCAGAGACTCTATCTCTTGTGAGCAGACAAGTGTCAGTCGCGCCACTAGTTCTCTTGTCAGCTGCAGATCACTACGGCCGGTCTGCAAAGGGGACACGGAAACGAGTAGTAGGTGTTCTACTAGGTCAAAATGACGGCAAGAATGTTCGAGTGTCGAACAGTTTTGCGGGTTCGTTTTCGAGCGACTGTAGAATATGAACATTCTCTGACAGGAGACAGTGCCCTTTGAGGAGGATGAGAAAGATCCCTCCGTCTGGTTCCTAGATCATAACTATGTTGAAGCAATGCGGGAAATGTTCAAGAAGGTCAATGCGCGAGAAAAATTGATCGGGTGGTATCATTCCGGTCCGAAACTGCGAGCATCTGATCTCGAGATCAACGAGCTATTCAAGAAATACACACCGAACCCTCTCCTTGTCATCATCGATGTTCAACCGAAAGAAGTCGGAGTACCGACGGACGCCTATTTTGCGATTGAAGAGATCAAGGACGATGGAACGACCACAACGAAAACATTTGTGCACACCCCCTCGATCATTGAGGCGGAGGAAGCAGAAGAAATTGGTGTGGAACATCTTCTCAGAGACATCCGCGACGTCGCAGTTGGCACCCTCTCTTCCCGAATCACTCAACAGTTGCAGTCTCTTCAAGGTCTCCATTTACGGTTACGGGACATCAGCGCATACCTTCAAAAAGTTCTTGATGGCGAACTTCCCACCAACCATGCCATCCTCGGCAATTTGCAAGATATTTTCAATCTCCTCCCTAATTTGACCACCCTTCCCGCTTCCCGACCGAATGGCAAGAATCAAATCGAGAATAGCGAGCTGGCGCGGGCGATGAGCATCAAGACCAACGATCAGCTGATGACCATCTATCTTAGCTCTCTAGTTCGTGCAATCACCGCCTTCCATGACCTGATTGACAACAAGAACCAGAACCGACAGCAACAGGAAGAAAAGGAGGCAAAGAAGGATGATACCGAAAAGAAGGAGGGTGAGAAGGAGAAGGACGAGAAAAAGGCAGGATCTAATGGAGCAGTGAACGGGGACAAGAAGGAAACTGAAGAGACTGGTAGTGGAAAAGGCAAGGGAAAGAAGAAGAGCTAGACGCCGAGATATCTGTGAGATTTTACACCGGAGAGGGCGTTTTGAACTGCAAGCACGTCTTAAGGCATGCTTTTGCAACTGGGCATGGGCAATGTACATTATCACAAAACCTTCATACCAATGTGCAGGCAATCGACGCCGCCTTGGTCGTCTTTAATCATCGTGTTGAAGACATGTCTTCCCGGGTTCAGAGGCAGTTTCACTAGGGGCAGCATCAAACACAGAATCTACTACGTATTTTGCCTGTCTAGTTGATCTCTTTGCCCTGTTCAACAACCTTCCCATTGCTCTCTCGTATGCTTTTGTATGGCTGTGCACGCCTCTACTGCTCGCATGACAAGAACACGGACAGGTTTGTAAATCTCGACTAAATAGTGTCCGATGAAGGTTTTTCATTCCTTTAATGTTGGGCTTTGCTGGTTTCGCGAAACATACCACGTACTCCCAGCCCGATACTCCATCAAAATATGCTTCTGAGATACGTAACGTCGATCCGTAGTAGTCATCGTCTATTGTCGCATTGGGGCTCATTTGGTGTCTCTCCTCTCATAGTCTCAAGGGCTTACATGCTCTCCCCATCCCCCGCCCCATGCCACCACCTCTTCCCTCGAGACGATGGTCTCCTTCACGCCGTCCGTAAACAGACTCGGAGCAACTTTCGCGAGGGTTGCCGCCATAAGGTGTTTGCAGCTCGGTACTCTGCCCATCTTGATGGTGGCGGTGCCGCCGAATTTCCAATCATCTTTCATTTTCCTTTTGGAGTCGCCGACTCGACCAACAACATCATCTTCGTTTGCTCCAAAGTCTTGATTAAATCGCAGATTTAAGCTCTGAAACACGCTCACGCTGAACGCTGGGCAAGTACAATTCCAACTATCGAGACTGACTTCGTAGATCGGGCCTGTCGTGCTGGTGTTTCCGCGGCGAGAATGGAATTGTCTTGTCGACGTAGGCCTGTCCGTAGTGGATGATGATTGGATATAAAAGGTTCCCCAACTTTTTCCGTTCGATTGAAGTTGAAGTTGCAGGTCAGAGCATTCGAGCACGGAGCGATCTTCGTCCACAGAACCTCTCCCTTTGGCCATGCCTTGATCGTCTATCCTTAACGCCGCCAGCTCCACCACGAGTTTTGTAACCAGACCTCGGTCCAGAAGATCAAGAGCGGGAAGGAGTTCATGAGGGAATAGCGCGTGGAGGGTTAGGAAGACTGAGCGAGCCCTATCCCGATCTGATATAGGGAGAGCTTGAATGCCATTATGAGATGCATGTTGGGGATAGTTCGGCAGATGAGTTGGCACCTGATTGTCTTGTTGAGAGGCTTTTACCTCAGAGAGATGCGAAAGAGTTTTGAGAATGGCATTCAATAACGAAGTTTGCGACTGGTTCGAAGTCATTGCGAGACCGAAAGTTTGAAGCAGCGAATACGTGGGCAGACGCGGAGAAGCTAGAACGTCACCAGTAATTGCCAACTATGGACTACGGTTACTTGCCACCAATGCTGCCATAAACTTGCATTGAGCAATGCTGAATGAAGCCAGACTTACAGGTAAGCAATGTGAAATCCAGCAGACCAGATCGCAACCTCGCTGGAATTTTGGTCTTCTAGGTCTTCTACCCGACAGAATCTAACATGTAAAGGGCTTCAGCTGACGCTCAAGGATCCTATTCGGTAATTGTTAACTGGCCGTGATATATATCCGATATGAGCCACATAGACCGCCCGAGGCGCCCCCTGTTTCTGTCACGGAACCAGAGGGTTATTGTTGAACGAAAGGTTGAGTTGTGGACCTGTCTGGTTGATTGTGTTCTGTCCCCCTGGCTATTCAGAGAGACTCTGCCTGTTTATATATAGGGTTGGCCTGTAACCACAAGAGCATTCCTGAAACCTCCTATTCCGTTGCCATCCTGTCACAGATCTGCAGGAACAACGAGGTTGAGGCAGTTTGCGCAGTTGGTGAAGCGTCTAGCGTCTCAGATGGTTTGCCCCAATGGTGCTCTCGCGACCCTGTCAACAGCTATTGCACTGCTTCAGTGCCTTGACTTTCAGAAATCCCTGATTCTGATTTGCCTCGCCGCCTAACCTCCTAGCCAAAAACATGGGTTCTTTGTGTTCAACCTTGCCATCGAACTTTCCCCCCCTTCATAACACTCACAACCCCCAAAGGAACCTGTGCCGCATCCACTATCTGGATGCTTCCATACTTTTCGACGATCTGAGTGCCGTACACTGCAAGCATCCATTTCCAATACGGATCCATCGAAGAAAATAATTTGACAATGCCCCAAGACGACGGTTTCTGACCACGTGTTGGAGTGGGTAGCTTGTCCAGCCATGCAGTGATTTGATTGGTTGCATGGACATGAAACTCAGTAGGGATCTCGAGCAGGCGGAGATAAGCATTGTACAGGTTGACGGATCGCTCCTCGCGGTATCTCATGTATTCGTCTTTCGACATAAAACTGTCGCCAAAGGTAGGCAGTGCCGACGAGAACGACTTCCTTCTCCCGTAGGCTTTCATATCCGAGTCGAACTGGGACTTCGCGGTGAGGTACGAACTCTCCTCGGCGTCGAGACATCTTAACAGAACATTCTGGGGTGTTCGACGCATCGTTTCTCGCATGCAGTAGAGCGGTACAAGTGGATTGCGCAGCTCGAGACCTCCCATCTGAACCGGCCAATACCAGACTCCGTCCGGAATATCCTTCACACCGAACCTCTCCTGCGCCATTTTCGAGAGGTAGTCGGTGACCGAGCCGTTTTGGAAGAGTGATTGCTGGATTTTTGCAAACGTATCGATCATGTTGTCCAGATGATCACGGCCAAATGCGTACGATGGCTTCCCGAAGTTGTTGCTGAAGAACCGAGCTAGATATGCATTATAGGCTTGAATGTACGAGAATATCGACGTGCAATGGGACAATTGCAGCTGAAGTTCTTTTATGTGCTCGTCGACCATGTCCTGATCTATCACAAATCGGACGCTGCTGGCATCTAGACGCAGAAAGCCCCAACGTACATCACCTTTTGGCAAGTGAGGCTCATTGGATGATGCACTTCTGCGGTCGGCTCCTGGGTAAAAGTCGAGCATTTGAGCATCTGCAGGTCGCGAAACGATGCCCACGTCGAACACGACACTGCCAGTCTTCTCTTTGTTGAACTCGATGCCCATTACGGAGGCGAAGTTGCTCATTGCTTTCCACGCGTGAATGCACAGATCCTCGGTTCCCCAGAACCAAAAGTCGTCATGAAGGCGGTAGAGATAGGCTTGCGTAGCATTGTTCACAGCAAAATCCATAACGAACAGAATGACCTCGCCAAAGACATCACTGAGCGCATGCGACATTGGGACGCCTCGTTGACGAACGTGATGTTCGCCGTTTGGACCATCCTGTACGAATCGCATTGGTGCCTGCAGGAACTTCCTAAAAAAGTCCAGCCAGGCCGAATCAATCCCGAAGAATTTCAAAACAGCAAAGATGGTGTCGTGAGGGAGGGAGGGTCCAAACCATTGAAAGTCTGAGCGAATTACAGCATGCGAAACTCCTGGACGAACGTGTTGTGAAACAAGAGCCTCAGTGATGAGCAAATGTAGAAGACCCTGCTTCGTTTCGACTGAACTCTTTCTGGCCGGTGTCAAGTCCTCGTCACTGTCATACCCTCGGGTGCCCTCAGCCTCCGTGGTTGGCAGCTGAGACATGAAATAATCTTTTCCGTACTGCTCCTTTCGTTGTGTCTCTATGGTACACCTTGGAGCTGATTCCTCACCCAGGAAGTACCTCCGTCGGTCCCGGTCATTTTTGGGAATGTTTCCTCCCGCAGTCCGCCAGGCAGCGGAGTGGAAGAAACACGTGAGACAGGATTTGAAGTGGACGGCCCATTTCATACCGATGGCATGAAGCAGAAGCGCATCGAGGATGTCCTCAGCCATGAAGACTCGATATTTTCCGTTCAGTTGCCGGCGCTGTTCGACAGGGATGGCACCGTTGATGGTGGTCCACTTCCACGTATCAAGAGAGGTAAATCTCATGTTCAGAACATCGGCGACTTCTTGAAGAACTGCGGGATTGTTCTGAAAAGACTTCAGAATGCCAGCCTTCTCGTCTGATAAGAGATCAGTCCTGAGGAGGCCGGCAATTGTGATCTTGAGATCGTGTGCACTGAAAAGTTCTGCTGTGGAGCGAAGAGTGTTGCAGAAAGCCCTTGTTGACGTCTCAATGTTCTCAAAATTCTGTGATGTTGTCTTATCTGACTTGAACAGTTGGTTAAGGTAGCGCTCAATTCCTGCTCTGTCAATTTCAGAGTTTGAGAAGACGATAGATTCCCACTGTGCTCGCTGTTCGTGCATTTCCTTTCGACCGACGCTTTCGAATGACAAGTCCTCCATTTGGCCGTGTTCAGACTGACGTGGTTTGGGGTTTTGCGAGCTTGAGAGCCATTCGGTTACAAGTTCAGAGAAGAACTGTGCATGTTCATGTTGAACGCTTTTGAGGCTAAGATGCTCCAGTAACTCATCATGAATCTGGTGTACGATCTCAGAGGCGAATGCAGGGTCTTTGACCGCTTGGCGGAGGAATAGCTGCTGGTTTCGACGAGTCCGTGCAAGGTCAGAAGCAGAACCAGAAGTGGCATCGGACTCGGAATCGGAACCGGACGAGTCGTCATTGACTACATGAATCCCGGCTTGACGACAAGAACTGATCAATAGCTTGCGCGTGCGTTCGAGGTTATCCTTCAATGGCTTCGCGTCACGGATGATCTCTTTCTTGGAGACCTCGTACTGGTCGCGTTGTTTTCTCACTTCCTGGATTTTTGTTGCGGTGACGGACAGGAGCGTCTCCGGAAGCGCGGAGCACGCCATGGCATTGCCCAGTTGCGATGAGGTTCAAAAACTGTGAGCTGGGAAGAGTTGAAGCAGGAGATCGATTGAAAGTCAATGGGAGAATCGACCGTACGGATAGAAGAGCTTGTGCAGGGGAACTGTTTGTGGCGGTCACTGCCTGCGAAAGCACGAGGAGGAAGAGTACTTTATACCATTCAACGCAGGCGAGAAACTATGGCAGTGGCTCACAACTCACATTAAGTTTGAGATCTCTAATGGACATGACTGTTCTATCACTCTGGTAGCAATGTGGCCTCAATGTGGCCTACAACGAAGTGGAGTTTTTTGAAGCAGCCTTGCCATAGAAGGCTGCGAGGCTGAGTCCTAGGTGGTTTGGGGTGCGAAATGGCTCGTAACTACCGGCGATCATTTATCTCAAAAGCGCAGTATCGTAATTCCTCGAGCCTCCGTGTACATTGTACTGGTATTCGGTACTCCATGCCTATCTGAGGTCATCCATCCTTGTAGGCCAGAGTATGCTTTCATCAACCCAGCGCAGAGCAGGATCGCCTCGCTAGACGCTCTGCCACAATGAGTCCGCCAAGCTGTTCCAATCCTGAACAGTCCATTCCCTTTCCCCTACCATGGACGCACCAGAGGCACATCCGCCTCCCAACTCTAAGGTGATTATTCAATGTATCGATCCAAGCGGCCTATTTGACCGTCTCGAGCCACGACTCTCGGCCAGAAGCCCCTTACGGAACTTGCACTGGAAAGCCCCGAACCGACCCCTTCGATCGATCTCGAACCTGAACATTTCTTTGACGCGCGAAGAACAATCTGCTGGAGCACAATCCAATGTCCGGAGGCATCAGATACCTGGTCTGCGCGAGACACCTTATGTCAAACTATATCTGCTACGATGCGATGACAAGGAAACGTACAAAGAGAAGGTCAGGAAAGAGCTCCGCCAGTGGGTAAAGACACAAACGCCTTCAAGTGATGGTAAATCGACAAGTAGGAGCCAAGAGGATCATGATGCCTCAGAATGGCTGATTGTCCATGTCATACTTCCAAACACCCCTGCAGCCAGCCAACCGAAATCCTCAAAGCACATCTCGCTAGAAGCCTCGGAGAGCACCGACAGTGTCAACAGCAAATCGAAATGGTCTGGCAAAAGCCCATCCACTGTCTTTGACAAGCTGAGGGCCGATTTTAGCAGTTCCAAGTCATCCATCGCCCGTGTCGCCCAGGTGCGACTTCTTGAACCCGGAGACAAATCCTCGGCATTGACATCTGCTGAGCTGGAAGAGCAGTGGCAAGATTTAGTGGACAGTCTGAAAACATGCATCCTGCGTTCGTTCGATGCTCGTGTCGCTCAATACGAATTGGACATCCGAGAAAGAGACAGCCAACGTAGTCTGCCTGGCTGGAATTTCTGCACGTTCCTCGTCCTCAAAGAAGGTCTCGCCAAAGGCTTTGAAAATCTGGGCCTGCTAGAGGACGCCCTCGCTGTGTATGACGAGCTCTCCCTAGGCCTCGACGCGCTGGTCAAAGAACAGGCCCAGAAAACTGATCATGATGAAAGCGGAGCGTTGTTGACTTTCTCTAAAGAATCCAAGGATCTCCTGAGGGCAGCACTGGACTCGGAGTCGCAGCGCCCCTCATATATTGATGCGAGCTCGCCCCTTGACCTGAATCACATTCTCGCAGCAGATCGCGATGACTTTCCGTTTGATGTTGAAAGAAAGAACTACCGCAACCTCATTCTGTCGAACGAAGTATCAGCCTTGGATCTCCGCATCTATCTCTTCACCCGGGAAATGGAGATCCTGACTAGGCGGGCGCGGTCGGTTCCAGGAAAGTCCTCTCAATCAGGCAGGGCGGATGCCGATCTCGACATTTTCGCGGATTTGACTGAACGAGCCATGCAGTTCATCAGCCTCGCCGGCCGTACTCTTCGATTTGAGCTTTATGATGCCTGGGGTGGACACGAAGGGTTGAGTGAAGAGGAATTGCACACGCAACGAACAGTTACAAATAATATTGTCTGCACCTGGCAGTGGCGAGCAGCTATGCAAATATTCGCCCAAACCTTACCAGCCTTGGACATTAATGTTGATTACAGCAACAAGGATCTGTCACTGGATGCCGTTGAGCTGCCTTCCGACCCCGGTGCAACTGTTACTGACCAACTACATGGACCCGCTGAGAGCTACCAACGTATATCCCTTGGACCTTCTCTGCGGTCCTCCTCGCGCGAACGCTCTCAGGAACGAAGCAAGAGACACCTACCCATGCCCAATGGAACCATTTCGCGTCAATCGCAGCCGACGCGACCAGGAGTCGCGCGACTGGCCTTGTGGGTGTCAAAGCTTGTACTCATGGCAAGACACTTCATTGAAAATCTAGAGGCTACGAAGCCGTGGGTCCTTAATATGAAACAATCTGCTCTGGAGTTGAACAGCAACCGGATGGAGCCTATCCCTACGAACGGCGAGGCCAACCACGACTCTGCAGAAACGGACGAACACCAAACCACCACCAACACCGAGCTTCTCCTAGGCTTGGGGTCTGCCACATTGAAAGCGGCAGCGACTTCGATGTCAAGTTTTGTTACGCTTTACGCCATGTTGTCCGTCCTTGCGTTTCGGATTGTATCCTCTACAAAGAATCGATCCACATCCCAGCAGATATTGGCAGACCTTGTCGAAATGGAATATTCTCAAGGCAACTGGTCTATTGCCGCACGCTACCTTGAAAATATTCTTGGTCCTCTTCCGCTTGCCTCGTATCGTCTCTCCGAAGAGCATCTCCTCCGCATCTATGCTGAATGTCTGAAAAGTCTTGCACGGCCTAGCGAATATGCCAGGTGTCTTATTTCTTGTCTACATCAGACCAGGAAGGCCACAGGTGTCCCTTCCTCAAGATTCCGCTCCGAAGCGAACCAATATTACATGGATCAGCTTTTCCAGGTGGTACAGAAAATTCCAGCCACAACCCTTCCTGCGGCATTACTATTTCGTATTTCCGCTGTTTCCGGGAACATTTCTCCTCTGGACATGAAGGATGGGTTTACTGTCTCAATCAATATAAGTAGTATCTCTGGCACTTCCACTCCACCGATCGACAATATCAAACTACGGCTAATTGCTAAAGATGGTATTGAGCCGCGGTCCATATTGCTCTTCCTTTCCCAAAAGGTAGTCATTGATTCCGAGGACAAGACCATAACCCTAGAGACTCCCGTGACGGCTCATGGCTGGTACATACCAGATGTGGTCGAAGTCTGCATTGGCAACTTAAGACTCATACATCACTTCAAATCAGGTCTAGACGATGAAGATGCTCGATCCGACGACTCCCTTAGCCCTCGAGCAGATGTGGTGCCGCTTCTTTTATACCCCAGCTACCGATCTTTTGGAATCAAGATGTACCCTTTCCCTGTCATTCATTTGGCCCAGGTTCGGCGGCTGCTACTGCAGGTCAGGCCCGGCCAGAATAATGTCAAGCAGGCCAAACTCCGTTTGAGGACAGCGACAGCTGGGCTGAGGCTCAACATCCACGACTCCAAATCGGTAGGCAATAGACACGAGTCGAGTCAAATGCGGACGACGCGAGAAGGTGACGCTCTGGTGATGGTCATGAACAACTTGGCCCCTCTGTCGGTCACGGAAATCGAGATCCCGTACACCATGGAGACGTCTTCTGAGCCAGCCATAACGCTGCGAATTGAGGCTAGTTACGAGACCGATCAAGGAATATTCACCTTTTACGATACAGCCTTTGTTAAGGTGATCTTGCCTGTCACTGTCAATGTACAGGACATATTTCGTAAGGATTGCATGTACTCCAGATTCACCATCATTCCCTCAACCATGGTGCCCCTTCGTCTCATTGGCTGCAGTCTGGAGAAGAATGACTCCCAGGACATGGTTGCAGGAGGAAGCTTCGATGAGCCATTCGTGGTGTTTCCGAAGCAACCTGCCAACTGGACAGTCCGGCTTGTTCCAATGGACCAAGACACTGCCAATGCCACTAACCGATTAACGCTTGTGGTTGACTTCCAGTCTCTGGACGGTGTGATGTTGGCCATCCTTGAGGCACACTTTACCAAGGAGATTGCAAATTCCAAGCACGCTTTTGCCGCCCGGCTTCTGACATCGCATTTGCTGGAACGTGTTCGTACTACTTGGACAGAGCAAGATGTAGAAGTTGCAGGCTTAACACAAGAATTCGAGATGTGGAAGATGGAGGATATGGACTGGCCATCAGTCTTGTGTGCCTTTGATCGGAAAAGAAGAGCTGAGGTTGAAGATTGGCTTCGAGATTGGCATTCTCGGACGCCACCGATCAAGTTCTCGTCTTCGAAAGTCCCTCAACGGCAACTCAGATTGTTTGTCGACATACCTCCGCGGCCAGTACTTGTTTCTGCATTTTTGGATGCCCAATGGTCAACCCCGACACACCCGACTGCAACAATTGGCCAGCCAATACTGGCTGGAATCGTCATGAGACTCGAAGGCAAAGTAGAGGGGGAATTCGAAGGATCATTCGAGATCGCTGCTCCTCCAGACTCGTGGTTGATTGGGGGAAAGCGCAAAGGCAATGTGCACCTGGGTTCAGAGTCCGTCCGTATGCCCGTTATCCTATTTCCGCAACATCTCGGACACTTACTCATTCCAACAATCGGTATGAAATGTCGCAGACGGGTCAGGAGTAGCAGCAAGGATGAGTGGATCGATGTCATGACTGATGTCCAGAATCCTGCCTATGGTCGGAGCATTCTCATTACCCCAGATTTGCGGGGCACCACCGTGGAGGTGTTTGGAGCGATAGCGGATGAGGGCACTGGCAGAATGGTCGCGAGTGAGAGCCGTGGAGGAGTGGGTTGAGCTCCAACTGGGAATTACGGCATGCTCTTCACCGCCATGACCACGCTGGGCGATGGCATAGAACAAAGTGAGAATTAATTTTGAGCCGCAGCTTGGAATGTCCTTACTACTGTGCTGTGACACCAAGCGCCAGGAACGGCCTCGCTTTGGGCCATTCCAGAAACCTTGACTACAGCTACTCGGTCCAGTCGCTGGCTCCGTGCTCGGCACGAACCGATGGCCACCTACAAGTACAAACAGATTTGGTGGATTGGCAGGGTGGAGTGACGACATTCCGCGAAGTCAGAGCCACCACAAAGCATGCAGCCAAGTCGTCCAAGGTTAGCGTCAGGTCTCAGCTCCCCAACAAAATCATTTTCGTGGGAATTCCGATTTCACCCTGCATACCACAAACCAGGAGCATCCATGCCTCCCGTGACTCTGAGACTGACTTCCGACTGAAATCTCAGTAGACAAGCCAGGGCTCAGCTGGTTGTCTGATCAGCTGGTCATGCTTCAGCCTTCCCCATTCGACCGAGGCACGAGCTCTGGGAGCGACATATCGAGTTTCATCTGCATGTGAATTTTCAAAGACGATATTTCCGGGCGAGGGTCAATTGCACATGCTAAATGACCAGAATCGATTGGCAATGGTGCCCTCTACCCAGTCAGCAATAAACGGCACGGAATCCAGCATGTGCGCAAGGCAATGACCATCAGCGGGTCAGTCGAACGCGCCCAACCACCAACTGGCGCACAACATCCTGGCGAATATGTCAGCGCCCTTTTGATTGACGAGTCCAAGCCGCCGCGAGTCTGGCAAGACTGGAGTCTCGAGGAGTCGGGCAAGGCCGAGATCAAAGAAAGATCGGTCAACGAAAAAGGCAAACCGTCCATCCAAAGCCACGGTGGGATGATGGAGAGCACCAGCGCCCAAGGAGGGTATCCTGCTCCACGTTCACCGGAAAAATGTGCCAGCCAGGCAGTCCCACATGAGGGTGACAGACCGACTCCAGGTGTGTCGCCGTCCGAACAAACTCACTGTGGGAATACAAAGTAGCAGTACTTGTTAGACCAACTGTCCCCAACCTCAAACTGATAGAGCGCCTTTTAGTGACCACAGCCTAATCCAATTACCTAGCCTTGGTTAATCACCTTACACAAAGTACTGCACACAATGATAGGTGCCAGTCACCCCGTGCCTTGCCTTTTTTTAAAAAACAAGTTTTGCTTTTTAGGTGTACTCAGTTCTGCCCCTGCCTTTCGCCAATAAAGAACAGACTCGATCGCCTCTTCAACGGTACCTAGCTGTAGGCGATCCTCGGGGTCCAGATGAAAGGCCCTGCAATCGTCTCTCACCGCCCAGGCACAACCGAGAGGCTAAATGGCCGCCTTTCGATGCTAGTCCCCTGGACTGCCCCTGTCGCACTAGCCCTAGGGGACTTTGTTGAGATTCATGGATCATGCGAATTTTTCCCCTTGCCCAAAAAAAATGAATTGCCAGCTGCCCACATTCTCTCCACTGCCCTGCGCCTGCACGATTTCTACGATAGGAAAGCTCTGCTCATTCGCTGCCAGTGCTCCGTACACTCCTTTGCCCCAAAGAATACGACCCATTGAGCCTTAATATTATTATTTTCCTTTCAAGCTCAGAAGCTCCATTTAACCCTGCCTTGTCGCCGCAGCCTTCACCTTCTGCTTCGCTCAGGCCCGACCTGTCCCAGGCTCTTCCCTTCTGTCCTGTCGTGCGCACAGTCCCTCGTCTCAGCTCCAGATTGAATATTCACCTCGTGCCCCTCTATTACAGAGTCCCTTATCAGATAGACCATGACTTCCACTTCGCTGCCCGCTGAAGCAGTCCTGCGTCGTCTGGCGACCGCCAACTCCACTCCGACCTCCTCTGCGAACATCTCCCCTCTCGATAGTCCGAGATCCTCCCCTTCCTCGACCTCCTTGTCCTCTCTCGCCTCGGAAGATGCTCTTGCTGAGCCTCCCACACACAAAGCTGGGAAAAGGCAGTTGTTTGATACCTACGGCAACCCCTTCGATGTCCCGGACTTCACCATCGGCGATATCCACAAAGCCATCCCCAAGCATTGCTTCAGAAGATCTGGCGCCACTGGGCTGTACTATGTTGCTCGAGACATTACCTCCCTCGCCGTCACCTTCTATCTCTTCAACCGCTTTTTGACTCCCGAGAATGTCCCATTCACTCCGTTAAGAGCTGGGTTGTGGTTCGTGTACACTGTTGTACAGGGTCTCTTCGGTACCGGCCTGTGGGTGCTGGCTCACGAGTGCGGACATCAGTCATTCTCGCCCAGTAAGGTACTGAACGACACAGTCGGCTTCATCTGTCATAGTGCGCTTCTGGTGCCTTACTTTTCCTGGAAGATCTCTCATGGAAAGCATCACAAGGCCACCGGTCACATGGAGCGAGACATGGTCTTTGTCCCCGCGACCAAGGAGCAATACTTCACCCGACGAGGGTGGCTGCTACATCAGCTAGACGAGCTTACCGAAGAAACCCCTATTGCAACTGCGTACCACTTGGTCAGCCAACAACTCTTCGGATGGCCGATGTACTTGTTTACCAATGTCACCGGCCACAACAAACATGAAACTCAACGTGAGGGCCGCGGGGTGGGCAAGCACAACGGGTTTGGAGGTGGAGTCAACCATTTTGACCCCGCCAGCCCGTTGTATGAGGCGAAGGATGCCAAGCTGATTTTCCTCAGCGATCTTGGACTTCTTGCGGTGGGAAGCATCCTTTTCTGGATCAGCAAAACTTATGGTCTGTCCAATCTGGCTGTCTGGTATATTGCTCCGTACTTGTGGGTCAATCATTGGTTAGGTGAGTCATACGGAGCTGAAATGGTGTGCCCCAACGTCTTTGCTTACAGGTAAACAGTGGCAATCACTTTCCTGCAGCACACGGATCCATCTCTTCCCCATTACACTCCCCAGATGTGGACCTATACCCGTGGAGCCGCAGCCACAATCGATCGTGAGTTCGGATTCATCGGGCGCCAGCTGTTCCACGGAATCATCGAGACACATGTTCTTCATCATTATGTCAGCACCATTCCATTTTACCACGCCGACGAGGCCAGCGAAGCCATCAAGAAGGTGATGGGCCGTCACTATCGAAGTGATACCGAAGGGGGCGCCCTGGGATTTTTGAAAAGCTTGTGGAAGTCGATGCGATGGTGTAACTGGGTTGAACCCATGGAGGGGGCCACTGGGGATGACGCGGGCGTGCTGTTCTTCCGCAACCGGAACGGATTGGGAATGTCTCCTGTCAAGACACCAAAAGCTGCTGCATCGTGAGTCTCGCAGGCTTTTGAGCATTTTGATGAGCACTTTTACTGGCACGCTTCGTCTGGCTTGCATGAAACACCGGAGTTGGACCTAACGGATCCGGCAAATGAAATGATAAAGACTCTTAGACATAGACATAACGGACACCATCAGATCGAAAGATGGGACTTGGGGAGACGAACAAGAAACCCGTCGGTGGCGTGTCAACAGCTGTGGTTCCTTGAATTGCTAACCCTGTCGGATATTGGGTCCGTCAAGCGGGTAAGCTTGGCCCTCCTGGGATCTAGCAAGGCGTGGTACGGTGTGCATGGCGGAGAAACATCAGACATCGGCGCTGCCTAATATAAGTTGCACCTCACGGATGTTAATCTCGCAAAGCACTTTGTGCACCGTACTCCGTACTATACGGCCGAATGGGACGTACTCTGCGCAATATTAGTAAGGGGGGAAGAGTATGTTGCGTATCTGGACAATGCAGAAGCGCAGGAATATGAACAGCGGCTCGAGCGCTATCCCGAGTTAAGTCAGCCCCGCGTCCCCACCGCCGCCGTGTCCATTCCTCCCGCCATCAGGAGCCTGTTAAAATTGTGTCCTCTTACGGCCTTAAATGCGCCTTCAGAAGACACGGTCAATAGTCAACCCGTTGCTTGCTTCAGCCTGCGGAGGTGTTGCTATCCACGCCGACCTCCTACACAGCAAGATTGAGGCTGTGTTGCTCGACCCAACCTCTGTACAGAGGCCATCTTTCCAGGAACTGGCTCTTGCCCGCTGACAGCTCCGCCGCTCGAACTGATACCCCGGCTCGCGTGCGTTAGCCACTCGCCCACGAGCAGCCTCGCTGATTTCACGACTTGTTTCGTGCGAGTATACATTGTACATTATGCGATCAGCACGAAAAAGGAAGCTGTGGTAATGCCGCATGCCTGGTCATGGCGTTTGGAAGACCAGTATTCACAACTTCGACCATAATATAAGTCTTGATTTCATCCCGCCCTTGAATTCAACATCAGCGTCCATTTCGTTAAATCCATCACATTGCATCTCAACAGCCTAATACAGTGTACTTGTAGATCCCAACATCCATTGTTGGACTTTGCTATCAACATGGCTTTCAAGAGCACCCTACCTCCGTTCGAAAAGCGGCCTAGGTCGCAGTCTAACTGGCCCAGCACCAGCACACGACTATTCTATGTGAGTCCCCTTGATAAGGCTCGTTTGTGCTTCATACCGCTGACTTACCAAGGCCCTCCGCGAAAACTTTTCCATGTCGACATGGATTTTTCTTGGAGCTCTGCTACAGTCTCTTGTATTCTTGGTCATACCTCGCTTCTACGCCATGTTCCCGTCTGTTCTTGTCCTTGGGGTCCGTCTAGCAGAGACCATGGCCATTACTTGGGGCAGGAAGAGGAACCATTATCTCGACGATGCTCTTCTGTACCGCACTTCTCCGCAGATCCCAGACGAGGATGGCAGCTTCCACGATGAAGCATCGGAAGAGAAACTAGCTGTCTTCATGTTGGGAGCCAAAGTTAATCACCCTATGGGGATTTTCGCGCCGAACGTCAAGACGGTTGGCGACTATCTGACCAAGATGATCGAAGATCTCGAAGCCGAGAACACCGACCTAGGGTTCTATGGCGGATCCACATGGACCAGCCAGGACAAGAACGGCGCCACTGAGGTGCTTAACCTCAGTTACTGGCGGTCCGCAGAGGATATCCACAAATTCGCGTACGGCAACCTGCATCGCGAAGGCTGGGACTGGTGGAACAAACATGTCAAAGAAAACAATCATATCGGCATCAACCACGAAATCTTCGAGGTAGACCGCAAGCACTGGGAGGCCATCTACGTCAACTTCCAACCGACGTTGCTGGGCGCGACAACATACCTTAGAAAAGGCGACAAGATGGTCGGTGGCACGGTCGAGGACCAATGGATTTCCCCTCTCATTGATGCCAGGAGCGGCAAGCTGAGGAGCAGTGCCGGTCGACTGGGCAGAAGACCCGAAGAGCTGTACGAGAAGCATGGACTGGCCCCCGGGGCCAGTTACGAGGGGTGAACTACTACAATTTGAGGCGGAAGGGTAAGGTTTTTGGAATGAGTACAGAGACCCCTTTGGTAACGACTTGGACTTTGGGCACGGTGTATTGGAGTTGGCGACCGGGTGTTTGCCACGATAAAAATGTACCGTATGGGCCCGAGAGACTCTCTGATCAGATCTTTTACCTAGAAATCGGCTTGTATTACCTAGCGGCGAGCTCACTTCAGACTGAATGACGTTGAATACCCAGTAATAAGAATACTGTTCTTCCCCACATACAACATGCATTAGGTACTTTGTGCATTCCGATCCACCGTTATGCATCACCAGGTCCCCAAGTCTCCCTTAAACAAACCTCGGCAACTTGAACTTGGTCTCGTATCTTCCCCCATCCTTTTGCTTTGCACCTGACTCGTCGCTGCTCGTCGCCCAGCTCCTTGTTGGTCTGAATGTGATTCTAGTGCTTTTGACTAAATGTCTCTCGTTCAACATAGGCCTCGGCAGCTGCGTTGACTGGTGTTTTGGCCATCCCTCTCATTCGCACTGAATCCGTCTCGGCTAATGTCCACCAAACGAAGGCATGTAGTTCATTGACTCTGACAGGCGCGAATTACTATAGCACATATAATACACAATCGACCTGTCGCCTCATTCTCGTCTTGCGGCTTCCCTTGATTCTCAGTCTCCTCTAGCACTCCGTCGTACTTCTACGCCCCTTGTCGACGGCCTGACTCTTCTGTATCGCTCCCCATCTGTCACCCCGTGCTCAATTATCTCTTCGCCATGCCATACAAATCCAACTGGACGGTGGCCATACCGCATTGCTCTCTACCGACTTTCCTGTTCAAATCGCCTACTGCGCCGCTGGGTCCCAAGCACGCCTTCTCAGAAGCCGCCCGCCCAGACACGCATTACTTGACTCGCGACCAATTTCGGCTTTGGGCTCAACGTTTTGCACTTGGGTTGCAGCGGTCAAAGCACTTTAGAAAAGGAGACCGCATTCTGCTCTTTAGTGGCAATGACCTCTTCGTTCCAGTGGTGTTCATGGGCGTCTTATGCGCCGGGGGGATTTTTTCTGGAGCGAACCCGACATTTGTCGCGAGAGAGCTCGCACATCAGCTGAGAGACAGCGGCGCAACATACCTTCTCTGTGCTGAAGGGTCACTCGACACTGGTATTGCAGCCGCGAGACTAGCTGGCCTGGACGTCGCTGAGAGGGTCTTTGTCTACAACTCCAAAATATTCGACGGAGAGAGCCAAGGTCTGAAAGGTTGCAGATACTGGAGTGAACTTGTGGCGCCGGCAGAAGACGCCATGGGATTTCAGTGGGATGATCTTACAAGACCCGGGGAATGTGACACTACTCTCGCTTTGAACTACAGCAGTGGCACTACCGGTGTTCCCAAGGGCGTCGAGATCACTCACAAGAACTATATCTCCAACACAATACAAGTGCATGCAATGGTCAAACTCGACCCCGATTATGAAGCGCGCAACGCTCGTGCGTCGTGGCTCTGCTTCCTTCCACTGTACCACGCGTATGGGCAGACATTCTACATTGCCGGCGCATTCAGCCGTGGGGTGCCTGTTTATGTCATGCCCAAATTCGACTTCATACAGTTTCTGGAATATACACAGAAATTCCGCGTCACAGACTTCACGCTCGTTCCCCCTATTGCAGTCATGTTGGCCAAGCATCCCGCAGTGGAGGAGTATGACCTGAGCTCGGTCGAGAATATCGGATCCGGAGCCGCGCCGTTGGGCCGAGAAGTGTCGGAACAGGTTGAACGACGGATAGGCACAGGCTTGAACTTCAAGCAGGGCTATGGCATGACCGAGTAAGAAACACAGGGACGTGGCTTTGGTGCCAAAGAAAACTAATGTTTCTCAGATGCACTTGTTCATTTCTTGGCTGGGATCCCAGGGAAATATCCTTGACTAACTCAGTCGGCCAGCTTAACCCTAATTGCGAAGCCAAAATAATGACCGAAGATGGCACCTCCGAGATCACAGCTCGCGGCTCTTCTGCGGTGGGAGAACTGTGGTGTCGTGGACCCAACGTCATGAAAGGATATTGGCGTAACCCAGAAGCCACCGCGGATACTCTAACGCCGGACGGCTGGCTGAAGACGGGCGACATCGCCTATGTGGACCACGATATGTGTTTCTACATAGTCGATCGGAAGAAGGAATTGATCAAAGTGAAAGGGAATCAAGTGGCGCCGGCCGAGCTAGAAGCCTTGCTGTTGGAGCAGCCTGGAATAGCCGATGCTGCAGTGATAGGTATGCCAACCGAAGACGGAGATGAGAAGCCTCGTGCATTTGTCGTTAGGCAAGTTGGGCCGCACGGGAAAAATTTGACGGAAGAAGATGTCAAGAGATTCATCGAAGGGAAGGTCGTCCGATATAAACGACTGGCTGGCGGAGTGGAATTCGTGGATGCTATTCCGAAAAATCCTTCTGGTAAGATATTGAGAAGACACTTGAGAGACGCAACGCGAGAGAGGATGAGAAAAGAGGGTGTGAGACTATAACCCAGGCCAGACAGAGGCAAGAACACATCAAGGCCGGCGCATCTTGCAGACAAATTCAGGAGGGAGGTGGCGCGCTGATTTGTCGATAAATCAGAGAAGCGGGCATAAGACTTGGGATGGCTACGAAACGACAGCGTATCGTTGAGAATGGACATAGAGTAAGAGAAGGTTGGGCGCGGCACAGGATCAGAGAGAAGCGAGCCTGCGAAAGAAGGCATAGTCCAAATAAGGCTCATGCCTTTCATTAGCAAGGCGGATATTGGCAGAAGCATAGGAGTATGAAGAGCGACAGGGACCAAGCACTAAAGTGACGTCTCAAGAAGCATCCCTCACAGCCTTCTCGTGATTCAATAAGCCAGCGGCAGATATTCAGCCATGTGCGAGTATCAAGAGCGAAGGAACTCATCTGAAAGGCAAACTCTCCTCATATACTGCGTAAGCTGCTCTACAAGCTGGCACCAGATTGCCGTCATGAAGCTACCACACGATATAGGAAGTTGTATCTTCTCCAGATGGGGCGGACGGGTCTATATTACTCTGTCCCTATTTCATTTTCCTCGAGTCCATCGTTGAATCGCTGAGCTAAGTCTGTGTTCTCTAATGCCGTCTATGCTTCTTCCTCCGCCAAGGGAGCGGCGAGCCGAAGGCTGAGTGATTCTTCGCTTGGAAGTGCTGATGAAGAGCACGGCTCGTCGTGGATTACATATCTGAGCACGTGTTCATGTGTATACTAACGGGGCTATTCTAGTCGCGCATCGCTGGCAGGGTAGAACATGCCTGTCAATAATCTCTCCTAGACCAAAGCCGACAAGAAAACCCAGACATCAAAAGTCAGAGCTCATGCGAGGGTCATCGGGTTCAGAACACTCGAATTGCGATGACAGGCTAGCCCATTAACTAAACTTATTCAAAGGCAGCGGGAATAAGCACCCGTTTCCTCCACTGTTCATGAACGACCATTGCGTCCGTTGGGTCCCGCCACACAAGTACAGCCGCAAGGCTTGATGTATAAGTGCAAAAGGAAACTATCCTTCGTTCCCGTGAGCTCCTGCACAAAGCCTTTCCAGGAATAAGGCAACGTTGGCGTTTTCCCGGATCTGGATCCATATCTGCGCGGATATCGAGAGATCTCTTCAATATCATTCCCACGAGTATTTCCTGGATGCCTTGGACTTTTACACGCAGCAATACGCACCGAAAAGCGCCCCGCTCTATGAGATCTTCAACGCCAACAACATATACACTCGGTTCCCTCTGGAACTCTTGCAGCATAGCCGGTTTCTGCATGCAGGACTTTGCGATGTCCTCCATGAATTTGAATTCTTCTTGGATCCAGCCGCAAAGCCATCACTGCGAGTACACGCTCACTTAGAAACCGCATGGGCAAATCTGAGACGAGAGATTGAGATCCACGAGTCCCTTCTCAACAACATCTCCGTTGCCACCGTCATGAATCTTGCCGTGATTGCACGAATGCTTGTGAATCAAGAGGCCCACAAATTGCACAAGGGAAATCTGCGCCTAATGATCTAGGCCAGAGGAGGACTCGACACCCTTGGCCACAGCGGTCTGGAACAGTGTATGATGCTTCAATGGGAGGGTAATTGGTGTTGGACAGCTGGCCAAGGCCCGACGATGTTTCCTGAGGAACGACCAAATCTCAGTGAGAAGTGATATCTCCAGCACCCTTCTCCCGAAAGCAAGGGTCAACTCGCCTACCAACTCCCGGTAGGTTTCCAGGACCTAACGGAGCTGGGCGCCCTCACCGTCCCAACGCCCGAAGCCGTGCTGCGTACGACAAAGGCGCTCGAAGACAGGAATACTAATCTTCCAGTCATGAAGGACAATGATATCTTTGCATGCCAGAAACGCCGCCAACACGACCTTTTGCAAGCGTGTGTCTGCCTAGCAAACCCCGACGAGTACCCCACCTTGGAAAAGCTAACCGTGTTCTGCCAACTTCTGCAAACTGCGCCTTCTCTCGAGACATTTCACAGCCGTATCCGTGCGGGCGACCAGTAATTTGTCCAAGACACCCACACCAGCGACGGAGCCGGAAATGAAAGCTCTTGTTTGGGCGTCCATGGTGGTGATTGGTTCCTGGAGGTCAGAAGTCGGCGGATGAATCGGCGGGCATGGATCTTTTAAGGCGCTTCAAGACAAGATTCCCAGATATGAAGAGCTGGAAAGACGTGGCTGATGTGTTGTCAAGAATCTTCTGGAATGAAGATATGGAGAGGTTTGTTAGTCGCTCATGGGCTGATGCCTGAGTTTTGTCACTGTGTCAAACTTGCCCAAACCGGCCGCGGTTGAGATAAATGACTATCTTCTGCTCTTTCTCCTCGAGACAATGTGACTGGCCAATCCCATCCTCCAGACCTGGGGTAAGCGCGAAACAGTTGAGCGGGCAGTACTTACGTTTCCAGCGCCGCGGGCCGGAAAGGTAGCAATCGTTACCGGTGAATCGCGAGCCATAGGGTGCAGGAATTGCCGTTGATTTTGCAACAACAGGATGCATCCCCATTTCTGGCACACATCCCAGAATTCAAGAAGCCATGGAATTGGTGTCGAGAAAATTTGAAATATTGGCCAGTCCATCCGGGCAGTTGCTATTCAAGCACATTGGCCCACCCACAACTGACGCGATAAGATCTAAAAAGACACTGCCAAACTCATATGTGGACAAGACACTCGGACAACAGTCAGTTGAGAAGAAGTTCGAAGAAGCGAAGGGCATAATGCATCGTTGGTCATCAAAAGCTTTCTCACAGGGGCGGCCCCAGACGAATCAAAGCGAACCTCATCCCTTCAAATGGGGGAAGTTTGCTAGAATTTCAAGGCCGATAGTAAATCGAGACACATAATTCCAATCAGTTGTCGATATCTCTTTCGCGATACCCGTACAACGCCTGCGCTTGCTGGAGCTTACTGCAGAATCATCATCTGAAATTCAGTGTACTATTGAAGTAGAAGTTACTTCTCGTCTTGGTCATCATCCGTGCTCAATGCTGCCAAGGCCATCCGCAGCTCCCGCACAATCTTTGCATCCAGTAAATTACCACCCTTCGCGTTTTGCCAGCTGATTTCTCTTTCTTCAGATGGGACGGTAATCTTTCGTCTTGCATCTTCCTTCATTGCTAGTACATCACGTAGGTCTTCTGCTATCGCCTTCCTGTGCTCGTCATAGCCCTTCAGTGGCAGCACAGTTGCAGGATCAACTGCAGCAGACGCGCCAGCGTTACGGAATGAAGAAAGGATGCGCGAGATTAGGGCTAGAGTCGTAGCCTCCTTCGTCATATCCAGAGTCAACACATAAGGCCCAACATAGTTTGTTTGGGGCGTGAGCATTAAGCTCGTGCTTGCGCGAATAAGTTGGTTGGGGAATCGATTGAGAAAAGCAGATATCTCAGGAGCAATAGCGCCACCAACGGCATAGAGGAGATTTAGGCACAGTGGAAGTAATGCCTTAGCCCACAAACGGTAGAGGAAGCTGCAGTTGAGTCGAGCATCAGCATGGGAAGCGCCACCCGGAACGCTTTGAAGTGATTCGGACGTCTTGGAGGAAAGGAGGCGGTTGAGGACGCCTTCGACGGCAAGCTCTTCCGCGACAGACGGTAGGGATGATATGGAGGCCAATAGATGAACACAGTATTCAGCGTAGCGGGGTTGAATGTCTCTCTCCGATCCACCGATGATATGAGACCACGAATAGAGCAGGAGGCATGCCGAGATGATACCAGAAGAAGATAGACGATCCGACAACTCCACAGAAAATTGAGGGAGACTAGGGAGTCTGAGAATAGTTTGAATAAGTGTCAGCAGGAGTAGTATGTCACGTGGCCCGATGAGGTTGTTTTCGCAATCATCATTGGTCTTCAATTTCTTTTCTTTTTGATCCTGAAGGGCAAGAACAGCAGATTTGAACCCTTCTGCCACGATTTTGGTTGCGATCTCGAGGAATCTTATGTTTTCCGGATCGAGAGGAACAACAGCCGTGGAGTTACCGGGAGCCATGGTGGGCTTTCGCTTTTTGTGGATGTGAAACTTCATCGTCATAAGTAGAATTGAGACGATCGATCGCCAATACATGAGGTCGTTATTGAGGATGGCTTGTTCATAGGACCCATTTCTGAATCTGACAGCATCCCAGGCGGGCTCCAACAAGCCGGCAAAGTCAGAACCTTTGACACCGAACGCAACCATCTCATGCAGCAGGACCGTTACCAGATCCGCCCGTGTTTGGAATAGTGTTTCGAAGAGAACTTCAGACGGATAAACCCGAGAATTTGCTCGTAAAGAGTTTCGGATAATTTTGGCCATCGATTTCTGGATCTCGCGATCCTGAACGAAGAACCTGCAATGATCAACACAAAAGCGCTGGAGGCTTGAGAGCAGCACCAATTCGGAGTCCACGGCTGAGAGATTCATGTTCGCTCGCCTAAACTCTGCTGAGAAAGACTGGGTACTAGGCGCCCCACGTGCCCCTTGCCAGTACGAGTCTTTTGCCAACAACTCATCTGCATATTCGACATCGTAAAAGAAGTTTGAACCGTATTCTCGCTCAGTCAAGCCGGCGCGTTGAATGTCGGACACTATTAGCCCATTATACTTGGCGGCAAAGTTTCGACGCAAATTGGCGTGTAATGAGGAGTTGTAGCTGGAAACTTCGACCGCATTTGATGTGAGCCAATTTAACAAAGGAGAAAAGGTCTTGACAGCGTTGAAGTCTCTTTCGACTTTCGCATGATGGAGATGAGTTGTGGCAATATCGGTGACACAAGCCGCAATCAAATTTTGCTGCGCCAAATCTATCTCATTGTGACGTTTGGGATCAAAGCTGGTCACAAATAAGACAATCGTAGAAAAGAACTCAGGCGAGGATGAGAGATCTTTTGTTACCCAAGACCAATTTTGCTGGGCCTCCAGAATGAATTCCAGCATTGCCTTCGAAACGTTTCTAGGAAGCGTTGAAATATCTTCCACCTCCTTCATGGCAGATTGGAGGAAGGTTATCCCGTGAACGCACTTGGTAGGCATCTCCCCTGACTTGGTACCTTTGGAGTTGCCTGGAGCACTGCCAGTCAGGATAACCATGGCTAGCCATTGCTGACAGTCTTTGACTAATAAAGTAAGGAGCTTCCAAAGTTCAGCACGTTCTTCCGGAAACTCGGACTTCTGGTCAAGATGTCGGACAAGGTTGACAAAGTCGACGCATGAAGAGGAGCCCAGATGGCCGAGTAAAGAGGAAGTCTGGTATCGCTCCACGTATGCTAAGATGGAACGCAGTAACCTCAAACAGGGAGTGCGGACGGAAGACGGGGCTTGGAGCATTCGAACAAGGCAAGGTACAACGTCAAAAATATTCTTTCCAAGCATTGACAGAGGTAGATTTTGTAACTGGCCGTACCGAACAAGCAGCAGTGCCAATGACAACACAGCGCTTACATATCGGTCGAAGAACGCTTCATCGGCTAAACCAGACCGGTCAAGTGTGCTGGTTATGAAAATGAGTCGCGGGATCGGACTTGGGACCGCATATTCAGGATCTGAAGATCGGAACGAAGCCACAAGGTATCTTGCCGCTCTAGCAAAAGACATGGTCACATTGCTGGGAGACACTATCGACATGCCAAGGTCGAAAGCGTAGCGCAAAATATTGCAAAATGATTCGGTGATGGTCGTGCTGACACGCACCTGCTGAGCCGGATCTTGAAATGACCAATCCGAGATGTCTTGAAAGACTTGGAACATGATCTCGGTCGCAGCTAATAGCATCGGACTTTGAACTCGCCATGCTGCGGATGCCGTTGGGTTCCGTAATGAAGCTCCGGTCGTTGATGAAAGACCATGACCAGAGTCCCTGAGCGCCAAGCTGATTAGGGACTGATATAGATCTGCGCACTTCTCCAGAAAATCAAAGTTTCGGAGCGGAGCTTCCACTACGGAGACAATGCTGGGAATCGGTGAAGCAGCTGAGTCGTAACCAAAGAGACTCGTTCGATTGAGGTTAGACCATATCAGATGTGGCTTAACTCTCGTGAGGACAAAAACGAAATGAATGCAAGACGTCATGATCCGAGAATCAAAGACTGACGCAGACCGACGCCGGAAAGCCTGCAACTCTTGTTCAAGTATGTTGAAGATGTAAGAGATCACATCCGTCTCCGGATTGAGATTGCTGCTGGCTTCGTCTAAAATCGAAGCGCAATGCTGTTGAGCATGATCCGCAGACTGATCGAAAGAAGTGCTGCTCAGAATAGTTGATAGAAGAGTTGCTAGAAGACCAATGATCTCCGAAACCACTGCTTCGGGATCTTCAAACGGCGATAAAGAGGTGGCTAGCAGTCCCATGTAACGCAGCTCCAATAGCTGGCCCATGTATGCGAGACCCGAGAATTCAAATTGCCACCGGATCACTTTCGGAGAGGCATCGGGGTCAGAGATGAGTTCACCAATCGCACCGGCTGGGATAATGGACGTCGTTACTGGGTCCTGGTAAGCGTAGGTTAGCAGCTTGTGCTGTGAGAGATCCAACACGTTGACTGGCTTATTGAGAGCCACGAAGCTGCCAATTTCGTCCTCACGAGTGGTGCTATAATCAATGCCTTTGATTGCTGCTTGAGTGAAGGATGTGAGGCTCCGGAGCCGAAATTCGACATATTGCGTGCCATCCTCACTAAAGATCGGAGCTTTTGCCAATGCTCGAGAGAATCGCAGAAAAGGCAAACACTCGTAAGGAAATCTAGCCGCCGAAGTGTCGTAGAATCCTTCCAGAAGAAGCTTGTCTTCGATGAACTCCATTACGGGTTCATAAAGTTTCTTCTCGGAGGAACTGTCATGATTCGTTGACAGTAAAGCTAACTGCGCAGATACCAGCTCCGGAGTATATCCCAGGAATGACTGCGAGACCGCGATGAGCTCTTGCATCGCTTGGTATTTGTAAATGGCGAGTGTTGTTGTGGGTTTACCCACGGAGGCAGTGAGAAGTGCGATGTATTCAACAAGATGGCATTGATCGATGGCAGCGTCAAGCAAAAGGACTGACGGATCTTCGTTTGTGCTGAGCGTCGTGAATCGATCCATGAGGTCTTCAAAAATGCTTGGCTGGAAAGAGCTCCCCCCCGATGAATTTCGGCGTCCAGTCGCCGCATCAAACGTTGCAATTCCGTCAATGGTCCTCTGAACGTGGTGACTCTCTCTGTTTTCCTTGATAGCAATGCCTAGCTGTTTGATCTGATGAACAACAACTGCCCAAGCTAGGATTACAGGACCGGCTTGTGTATCTCCCATCGCGGCTTCATTGGCAAGCAGCTCATGTATTTGAAACACACAGTCGAGATCAAAGAAGTACTCTCCCCGCGAGCCGTGTCGAGCTGTCTGACCAGACGAAGCCGTTTCGTTCAAAATAGCGACCGTGGAGCCCAGACTGAGGAGGGACAGCGACACTAAGGATGCTGTGAATTGTATTTTTTGAATTGTCACAAGTTGGACGTCAATTTCGGAGTTGAAAGACGCAAAAAACCCTACCGACGACATGAGCTGTAGCCAGAGAAGGACCGATTCCGAGGACGGCATCTCGTCTGAACTTCGCAGCCTCAGCAACAAGATTTCCAGGACCAAACTGATCATTTGGAGGCTGCATGTATCCCCCACATCTCTAAGGAGACTCAATTCTTGCTCATCTAACTCCCATGAACGAACGGATTCAAGATTCTGCAGCTGTTCTCGGATATACTTGACAGCATTCGCGATGTCTTCGGCAAGACCGTATCTTCCACGTCGTAGGATTTTTGCGAATGTCCTCTGCGGTTTCGATGGCGGCGTCTCGCCCAGGTCCGGTAGGAGGCTGACATCCCAAAGCTCCTTTCCCAGGCGCAACAGCAAGACTTGTTGTCCCAGGTGCCGGCGAATCAGTCGGGCCCGGCGCGCATTTCGAGAATCTATGATCACTTCTTCTCTTGCCAGGGAGCCACTCCGCCCTTGAAAGTTCCTGTCGACAAAATCCGACCCGAGTGCGTCTTTCAGACTGGCCACTTCAGCCTGGCAGAACCCTTCTCGCAATCTGGATTCAGAACGATACTGCCACTCCAGGATGGTCAATCGGAGAGCCTCCTGTTCTTCGAGCTTAACCTGTTTGCTGAGCCACAAGGCATCCTCCTTGAGCTCGTCGCGACTGTAGTGTCCATCTGAAGATGCGGGTATCGCTGAAACTTGGGATTCGAAGGCATTCTTTGAAGAGGCTGAAGGCCCAGGAAAGCAGGGAAATGTAGACTCCAAAATTTCTTTAGTGCGGTATTCAGATAGCAACTTGCTCACAAATTCCACCCTTGAGTCGTCGTGGGAGAAGAGCGCGTCAAAAAGATCGTCCCAAGAACTGCGGTTCGTCGTTAGCAATGTAATGAATATTGCTGCGGAGGGGCTTTACAGAAGGAGGAGCTCGCCAGCAAGACACTTCTCAACATCAGGAAAATAAGTCGGATTCAGCAACCCAGACGCCATCTTTTGAGGAGTAATCAGCCTTCCAGAAGTGACATTGAGGGAGTTGCTGGTCGTTGAACAATTAGTTGTAGACCAAATATTGCGATAAAGCGCGTCGCAGGCAGCCCTAATGCTCCGAAGTAGTTACTGTGGGCCAGCTCTTGGCGTTATGCCATGCTCCTCCGTGCCCCGTCACCATACCTCACCCTACTACACTACAGCTCACTGTTGCTCACTGTTTAGATTCAGTCCTTTGTCGACCACAGACCTATTTATTACCTAGGCAGGTCACATCAGCTCTGTGTTTCACACTCTGCGACCTCCAATGCAGGTATTACTTGGGTAGCAGAAAGGCAGGCGAGGTCCGGGCACCCTCCATTCCGAAACGAGATTTCACTAGGATCATTCCTTAATATTGTCCAAATGATCTGAACTCTGACCAAGTTAGATCAGGACTGCTGGCACAGAGAGAGTCCTTCCGAACCTGACAGTTTCCCCTATATGTCCCAGACGCTGCTTTTCCTCTATAAACATTGCCTCACATAGATCTTTACAGAATTCTGATCTCAAAGGAGGGTAGGCCATGCTACTATAAAACACTCGCCAGTTCGCCAGCCGCATCGAGTTCCCGTGGCTGGATTGAGGCTGTACTTGATGAATTCCTGCCTAGGCTTCCACCACTGCTGAGCCGGGCTTCTATCCGTATCTCTCATTCACCTTTACTGGTGTGGGTTACTATTGTGAATTCATCATGAAATTGCACCTCGCTTTTCTCTATTAAACTGGTTTTACTACCTATATAGCCTTTGCTAGAGCGAGAGCGAAGTTAATAATCGTGCTTAGATTAAGATTATCCAGATTGGTGGAGCCGCTATAATAATACATCCCGTAGTTTCCTTTAAGAGAAAATACTTCAGTGCGGCTTGTGCGCAACATCATTTTCCTGAATGAAACAAAAAAATTTTGAACCCAGCCTGATTTGAACAGACAACCTTTCGATCTGGAGTCGAACGCTACATGCAATTATTAGTTGGGGAGAGTCGTAGAGGAAGGAATTACATCTCAGAACGTACCGCTACCGTTGCGCCATAGGTCCTCAGATAAATCTACCACTAATGTGCGATTCTGATGAGAATTGCCAAGTTATATAAAATATAAGGATAATATTCTCTGGCCCCACTATATGCTTGGCAGCCTGTTTCTACCAGCCGTAACTACTAGTGATACCACGAACCAACCATGAACACAGAGAGGCATAAGGCAAAACCGTCTTCCACGTCTAAGTAGTGGTAGTCAGAATATCTACTCAAATATCTCTTAAGATGCATTTAATAAGCATCATGGAGAGAGCTTGAGAGCACCTTCAGCGGACGCGAACTACAAGGGATGAAAGTGAAACATCCCATCTCGACAAAGCTTTTACCGCCATATTCAACGCTCGACACTGACAATTTTGTCTCCACTACCTTTGTATATAGTCATTGACATTTTCAAGTGCCCCAGTGCGGAGCGAATTTCCACTCGTGTTCGCTACTGCGATACATCTCCAGGGGCATGGCAAAATAAACCTTGTTGAAGTGGTTATGTAGAGATCCTACATGTGGCATTGGCGTTCAGAGGACCCTCCAGAATCGAGAGAGCTTTGGCTTCCATATTGCTAATGGGTACGAGGGTTCCGGCTATAGTAGTGGAGCTGCACGTCTCTCTCTCTCTCTCACGCAATGGCTTTAACAGGCAGCCTGATGAAGCAAGATCCCCCGACTGGGTCACAGTTAGGCTAAGCAGGAGCAGCGCAGTGGAGAGCGAGCAGTCTTGGACATAAATATTCAAGCTAACGAGCAACATTTACTCCAAGGAAGTAGGGGAGGAGCGGAATGCTTCAGATAGGAACAGGAATTCATTTGAGACGATGACTACAATAGTAGGTCTCCGAGCATGATGAGTCTTGGCTCCTCAGCACGATCATAGCTATCTCACATAACTATCTCACTTGGGCGCAGCGCAATAAGTTACATTGAAGCCCTGTTTCCACACTCCAGAGGCGACGACGAAGTCCACCAGGTGAGTGGCAGCATCAGAGACACCCATATGCGCCTTTGCCCTGTTCACGATTCTTCTGAGCTTCTCTAAAGCGGCCTTCGCCTCACTAAGCGACAGCCGTCAAGCCAAGAGAGATGCGTTCTTCGTACGGACAAAAATCCCCATTTCGCCACTGCATCGTGTCAATCTGAGCGTAGTAGATCAGCGCGAAGGTCGCTAGGTAGTTGAAGGAGACTGATCCCGGCTTACCAACAAGGCTGTAGGTGTTAAAGAACGCAGCCTCGTCCGGGGTCAACAAGTCACAAGTTACCAGATAGAGCCTCGCGTAGGTGTCGTTGAAAGTGAATTGCAGGATATAGTACAGTTTGCGGCAACAGGTCTACCTGCCTAGGTTCGGCTGTAGCACTTAGCGACAAAGATCAGGTTGTCATATCTCCACAGCAGGATGATAGACATGAGTGAGGCTCCGATCAGCGGAATTCTAATGTTGTTGACGACGACCCTTCGAGGACCAAGATCTGCCACACTTACTGGATGAAGATCAGTCGGTCCTGCTTCGGAGATAGGATTGAAGTCGAGGGAAGGGGGAAATTGGAAGAGGAATATAACTTGCCGCAATCCCCTGCCTTCGTGTCGGTGCTGGTGACGTCTGTAGAGCCGGCGCAGAACTACTCTCTTACGACACATGTAATCGATGTCGGTATGGCCTTGTTGTCAATGTGAGCTTTGCTGATGGCAATGAAGAACCATAGAAAGCCCTGGACGGTTGCCAAGTTGGGCCCAGGGACGCTCTATGCAAGTGGCGTCCCTATCGGGACTAGGGAGCCCTTATTATCGTTCGTAGTCTTCTCGAATCGCCTTTAGGAGCCATGTGGAATGCAATGTCGGCATTTAGCGTCCACCACATTCAGCCAGGAGATAGCTTTTCGGAGTCTGGTGGTGTTGAGAATAGGACTGGGACAGGAGTGCTAGTGGCCGGAGATGAAAGTGGACGAGGAAGTTCATCGGCGCAAGTGGGCGGAAAACTGGGCAACGCCGGCTTTTATACCCAGAGGAGGGCAACTCGGAGGATTTTGGAGAAGGGAAAGCAGTCAACCTATGATGACAGTGAAACACAGGTCGAAGGCAACCATCTTTGGGTACTGAATCGGGTCTAGCCAGTGCAGGAAGCGCAGCACGCAGGGGACCGGTGGGGCGGGAGTGAGTGAAGGGTGATCGCGGGTGAGTAAAAGGGTGAGTAAAAGGGTGAGTAAAAGGGTGAGTAAAAGGGTGAGTAAAAGGGTGAGTGAGTGAAGGTAAGAGGAGAGTGAGTGGAGTGTGAAAGCGTCCCGACTAGTAAATTTCTATATCGCCTGAGCTCGCGGTAGATCTTTCACTGCTTGAATGGCTAAGAAAAACCGTTCTAGGATATCGGCTCTACGAGAGTGAAACCAACCCGACGGAAGAGGACGATCATTCAGAGCCATGACCAAGAACATTAGGAGCAGTTTCGATGTCAACACCTCCGGAAATGGAAAGCACAAACCAACGGAGCAAGGGGCACATCGAGGAATGAAGCGCAGGATAGCAGACGCAGAAACCGCAGGCCTCACCAAGGACAAGCGCGTTGAGATGGCAGGTACAGATCCTTTCTTTACGGGGAGCTGGTTGTACTGTCGAGACTGACGCGACATAGGAACTGAGATCGATGATGCGTGTGCGCAATTCGAGAAGACGGAGAGTGCCCGTAAGTTCTCTCCTTGTGGACTGTAGAGGTCATCCTTCATTCTCATTCATATGCTAAGTCTAACTTGTCTTCGACCACAGGCGGATATCGGCCCTTTGTCGATCAAGAGGGCTTCGTGTACCTCCTCACATTGGTGAGGAAGGACATTCTGAAGAATCGATTGGGGAAACATCGCATCAAGGTGCGTTATGTGCCTCATTTCTCTTCCCAGCCCGGCATCAATTCCTCAATGCGTCGCCAAATCACAGAGAAGAAGCGTCAGAGCTCAGATCATGGTGAGTCTCCTGTGCGGTATCTAAGCTGCTCACGAGTTAAAGTGGCCAAAGGCAAGCTTTTCGGATGCTCTGAAGACCCTGGGTCAAACCTAAGACTTCCTCCTTGCCCAGTGCCACTGTACTTCTTTCCCAAGCCATACCCATATTCCTGGAACCCTGTCATTGAAGGCTCCCTGCCTCGATACCTCAGGCCATCAAATCCCAAGCTTCGTGTACACATCCCTGATCCATGGGCTCTGAGTCTGCAGCTTTTCGAGTCAGACTCGCTCCGAGTTAGTCCTGTATCTACTGCACGCAACTCTTCCGCTTCGAGGCTCCCAACAGAAGCCAACTGCCAGGATGCGAAGTCGTATGCATGTTACTCAATCTTCGCGCGATTGGGACAGATTCACGTGCAGACGCTGGCTCCCGCTGGCAGCACGTTTGACTTGGCATGGGACATGTTCTGTGATTTCTTCAACAAGAGGGTGGGTGTCGATTGGAAGAATCTTCACGATGAGCGGAGGATGGCCATTAACATCGAACGACCCTTGAGTGAGATATTTCGCGGTGAAGATGGAGCAGACGCTTCCCGTTGCTTTCGTACCTCGAAGCCAACCGAGCCACAGTTCCGCGATGAAAGAGGCGAGGCATTGGTCGAGTCCATGGGGTCCAGGAGCAGGAAACCCAGCGTGACGGTACTGATCAATACAGGCGGGCCGATTATGGATTACCAAATGGAAATTCAGGCGAAGACTCCAGAGAGTGGATGGTAAAGCCGTCCTGCCCATCCAGACATACTGAAAACTGTCCGCTTGCAATTTGCTGATGTCGTGGGAGACTGCCGCGGATCAATGCAAAACATGGTGAGCCGGCTTTTGGGGCTGCCAACTGCCATTTTGGGTCCGTGGATCGATCTGGTTCTTGGCCAAGACATCCTACTGCATGAGGTTGACTTCATAGATAGTCCTTCTTGCGGCTAGTTCTCGTGTATTGAGTCAAAGCCCATTCGACTTCGCCGCCGGAATCCTTCTCCAGAGTGCCACCTCTTATCTCGAAGCATCTCATACTCATTCTGGGCCCGACTTCAGCCAATTCGACGTCCCTGTAGCCAGTCTGCACGAAGATGTGATGCCGCACCTCGATGCTGTCCTCAACATTCTTGAAGGTGACCACTCGGTTGCCGACTTTATGTGGGCCATCCCGGGGAGGGAAGATGTGTTTGAGGATCTGGATGACTCTTTTTCCCAGGCGTGTCGTAAATCCCTCGAAAATCAAATGGGGATAGGACTCGGATACCGTCCCTCTGGATGCATCAGGAATATCTGCTCGGAGGACGACGTTGTGCAGAGAGAAAGAAGCGGTGGGACCATGAGGCAGGTGCGAAATAGTCATTGCGGTAGGAGTGCCTCGATGTTCGTGGAGCAGGATAATGTCGGTGAGAGCGGCAGCCTTTGCGCTGACAAGAAGATTGGGTAGAATCAAGTTACCTCGATTCAGGCGGATGGAAGTAGGCAGGAGTAGGCGAATTTCCTTGGAAAATGTTGAAAGACGGGTCGAAGGGCTACGGGAGGTGGTGACCAGCGGACGAGGGTCGGAGATACCAGACAGCATTGAGTACTCATCGTCCATAGACTCTTGTGCAGCAGCACTCTCGGCATCCAGAGATTCATCGTATTTAAAATCCTTGCGCAGGGAATTGTCATTGGCAATCGACGGGTCAAGTGGTTTCCCAGTAGCAAGCGATTTTTTCAGCAGCGCCCGCTTCTCTGCGATACTAGCATCTCGCAGTTGAATCGCACGACGGTAGAGATAGTCCCGACGCTCGCGTGCTTGCCGACGGAGCATTGTTGTAAGCAGGGAGGGGCGAGGAGAAAGGAACGAGGGAAGGTCAGGACCAGAGAAAAATGATGGTGTCGAATATAATTTTGGTGGAGAAATTTCGCCGCACTTGATCCGCATCGCAACCCACCCATATTCCTCCGTCCCTCACTCTCTACTAGCCACCACTTCACTGCACCTCCTCTCCAACTAACCCTCGTATGTTCGACAATAGGTCCATAACCGTCTTTGTGAACTGGAGACTGTCGGAGGGGTGTGGAATCGCGACGTCTATGTGAATACTGGGTGACCCTCTCGACTGCGCCGATCGGTCACCCTTCGCCTCAACTTTCTTCTCTCGAAACCGGCCAAATTTCCCTTTGATGTGAGACTGTTCAGGAATATACGCTGCAAAGACCGGTCCTTGAAGATGGAGGCGTTCAGCAACATGGGAAACCACTTGGTTTCCAACTCCGCAGCCGCCATCAACGCCATCGACGACATCTCGACAGTTGATCCAGATGAGAGCGTCCTCAGCCTGGCTAAGGGTCCCAGAAGACGTCAACATGACGATGACGAGTCCGAAAGCATCGAGGAAGATGACCTTGAGAGCCTCGCTTCCGCTGCTGTTGACGCCAACGGCAAGAAACTTGTCCAGAAGGCGGAAGAAGAGAAGGAACTGCCTCCACACGCCTGCGCGTACGTCACTACTTCGCTGGGATTCTATACTGGACATCATACTGACTGGTCTCAGCTACTGCGGCATCCACAATCCAAGCAGCGTGGTGCGCTGTCTAACATGCGCCAAATGGTTTTGCGCCGCACGTGGGAATACTTCCTCCTCTCATATCGTCAACCATCTAGTTCGAGCCCGCCACAAAGAAGTCCAACTTCATCCAAGCAGCTCTCTTGGTGACACAGTATTAGAATGTTACAATTGCGGGACAAAAAATGTCTTTTTACTTGGCTTCATCCCCGCAAAATCAGACACCGTCGTTGTCCTTCTTTGCCGACAGCCTTGCGCTGCGATGCCATCCTCGAAAGATATGAATTGGGACACTTCAAGATGGCAGCCTTTGATCGAAGATCGTTCATTCCTCTCTTGGCTTGTCGCACAACCTACCGACCAGGAACAACTCCGTGCCAGACATTTGAGTCCTCAAATGATTGCGAAACTGGAGGAGCTCTGGAAGGAAGATGCAAATGCCACCATCACCGACCTTGAGAAAGCCGCAAATATTGACGACGAGCCTGCTCCGGTCCTTCTGCGCTACGATGACGCCTATCAATACCAGAACGTCTTTGGCCCCTTGGTCAAGATCGAGGCTGATTACGACCGCAAGTTGAAGGAGAGCCAATCGCAGGACAATCTGGTTGTCCGATGGGATCTCGGTCTCAACAACAAGCACTTGGCTAGTTTCGTTTTGCCGAAACTTGAACTGGGCGATGTCAAGTTGGCAGTGGGAGACGAAATGCGACTCAAATATAGTGGGGATTTGCGACCAGCCTGGGAAGGTGTGGGTTATGTGATCAAGATCCCCAACAACCAGTCGGATGAAGTCACAATCGAGTTGCGATCAAAGGGTGACCACAAGTCCGTCCCTACTGAATGTACACACAACTTCACGGCGGACTATGTTTGGAAGGCCACATCCTTCGACCGTATGCAGCTCGCCATGAAGACGTTCGCTATCGACGAGATGAGTGTCTCTGGCTACATTTTCCACCGCCTTCTCGGCCACGAAGTTGCTGCAGCTCCCATGAAGACTCAGCTGCCCAAAAAGTTCAGTGTACCTGGTCTACCAGAGCTCAATGGCAGCCAAATCAATGCTGTTAAATCCGTTTTGCAGAAGCCTCTCAGCTTAATTCAAGGCCCACCAGGCACTGGCAAGACTGTGACATCTGCCACCATTATTTACCATTTGTCCAAGATAAATGGCGGCCAAGTCTTGGTTTGTGCGCCTTCCAACGTGGCTGTGGATCAGCTTTGCGAGCGCATACACCGCACGGGACTGAAGACTGTGCGAGTGACTGCGAAATCCCGAGAAGATGTGGAATCGTCCGTCGGATTTCTCTCCTTGCATGAACAGGTCCGAATGAATGACAGTAACGTCGAACTGGCGAAGCTGAACCAACTCAAATCAGAGTTGGGTGAATTATCAAGCCAAGATGAGAAAAAGTACAAGTCGTTAACTCGAGCGGCTGAACGAGAGATTCTGCAGAATGCTGATGTCATCTGTTGCACTTGTGTCGGTGCTGGGGATCCCAGACTTGCTAAGTTCAAGTTCCGCACCGTCCTGATTGATGAATCAACCCAGTCAGCAGAGCCGGAATGCATGATACCCCTGGTTCTTGGCTGCAAGCAAGTCGTCCTTGTGGGTGACCATCAGCAGTTGGGGCCTGTCATCATGAACAAGAAAGCTGCAAAGGCCGGTCTTAATCAATCTCTCTTCGAGCGTCTCGTCATACTCGGCTGTGCGCCGATTCGGTTGAACATCCAGTATCGTATGCATCCCTGCCTGTCGGAATTTCCGTCCAACATGTTCTACGAAGGGTCTCTTCAAAATGGCGTCACCGTGCAGTACCGTCTCCGAAAAGATGTGGATTTCCCCTGGCCCGTTCAAGATGCACCAATGATGTTTTGGTCGAACCTTGGAAACGAAGAAATTTCAGCGTCAGGCACCTCATATCTCAACCGTACTGAAGCGGCCAATGTGGAAAAAATCGTCACCCGCTTCTTCAAAGCTGGCGTTAAGCCTTCGGACATTGGCGTCATCACTCCGTATGAAGGCCAGCGCAGCTACATTGTGAGCTCGATGCAAGCCACCGGGACGTTCAAGAAGGAAATGTACAAGGAGATTGAGGTCGCTTCCGTCGACGCTTTCCAGGGACGGGAGAAGGACTTCATCATCCTATCTTGCGTCCGATCGAATGACCACCAGGGCATTGGCTTCTTGAGTGATCCCCGTCGCTTGAATGTGGCCATGACTCGAGCCAAGTACGGTTTTGTTATCCTTGGTAATCCCAAAGTTCTGTCAAAGCACCCGCTCTGGCACTATCTCTTACTGCATTTCAAGGAACGCAACTGTCTGGTCGAAGGCCCTCTGAACAACCTCCAGGTATCTCTACACCAATTCAGCCGACCTAAACAGTCTTACCGGGGACCACAGCGTTACCAAATGGCGTACAATCATGCCAGTCATATGGCAAGCGGTATGATGAATGGTCGTCCGGCTCCGCGCAATGATTACCGTGAGCCAGCAGGCTCGGTCGTTGGCTACATACCGGATGACGTCTCTTCCATCCATTCATCTGCCATGGGCGGGGTAGGAGTTCCAGCAGGCTATCCACCAATGTTCCAAGGATTCACGCCCGATGCATGGCCCACGCTTCAGAATACTCACGCTCGTCGTCAAAACGGAGTCAAAGTAAGAGCAGTACCGAGTAGTGTGGCCGGAGAATCTACAATGGCGACCGAGTCCGACGTCACCGGCAGCGTTCTTGGACAAGGTGGAGTCAGTCTGGAACAATTGTCCATTCATGACACCAACAAGCAGCCAAGTTACAACCAAGCCGACCGACTAAAGAGATATATCGAAGGGGGTGCCCCTGGCCTTGGCGGCTATATGTCCAACCACAAGCTCGGCAAGGTTGTGCATGAGGACGAAGACGCCAGGAGTGTTTCGACCGCATTTGCCAGTCAAGTTGGTGGCAGCTACGATTGATATCACTGCGGCCCGACGATGAAATTTCCATGATAGCAGAGAAGAACGAGCTCATCTGAGTATCTCTTACGATGTGTAGTCATCATTAGCATGAGGCGCTACCCCTCCAATCAGATGCCGGCCAGTGATTAGACGAAGCATTTTATCCCGCGCTACGAGCGGGCCCTGCTTTACCGTCACCCGTCGAAGTCCGCCAACAGCAGCGACAACGATACGGACGATGCGGCGCTTGCGAGGCTGGAGGCTTCACAGTCGCATGAGATGTGGGTTCTAGATTTTGCCGGAATCAAGGACACTAGGGAAGAAAAGAAGATTGCGGGGGAGGGTGCAGCATCTTTGGATGCAAGCAAACATTTGAAGAAACTCTGCAGGACTACGACCATTACCGTCTTGTCTCTTGAAGCGGCATGCTTGGGCGGCAGCAGTGGCAGCAGTGGCAGCAGTGGCAGCAGTGGCAGCGGCGACGAAGGTAAGGACACAACCAAAGAGAGGAGAGAAAGGAGGAGCGAATGCAGAGAATTGGAAGTGACGGTGACCAGCCAAATGAGATTGATATCGTTGTGGGTTCTTTTTTTCTCTTCTAAGGATTCGCCTGTTTCGAATGCACTCGGTCACTCTTTCATCCACCAAACACAGATATTTACTCCATACTTGGTACTGCCTAATAGGTAGTCCGTCACTCTCTTTACCACCTACGGTACGTAGTATCCATAGACAAAGCGACTCCGGGCTCGCTTTTATGAACTAGGTACTCCGTGTTTCTAGCCCTGCTCGTACGATCCTCATTTTGAGGCTCAGGAGGTTGTTCCTTCTTGAAACGTCGAGAAGCCAGCCGAGGGGCTAGTGTCTCTTTGCGTGGTTCCTTCAAACACACGCAAACCTCAGCCTGACACACTTCCGACGCCTTGACGACCTCTTCTCCATCCCCAATACCTCCACACTCTGACCTAAGTCCACCCTCTGCGACCTAGACTCGGTCTCGACTGCTTATCGTGTAGCAGCCTCGTTCAGCCGCTTCCTTGATCAGCTGCCAACCAAGGTTTCGGATCTGCTATGATCCGACAGTTAGCAGCCTTCCAACAGAAAATTCCCCCGTACAAGGGACAAGTATGTAAGTCGTAGCTATTTCATTCTTGGTTTGTACGCAGAAAGCTGCCCTCTCTTTCAGTCATCGTCTTTGGCACAGTAAACCTACGGCTGCCAGTCGTTCCTCTGAATAACGAATCCTGGAGATTTCTAATCAAACCGACTACGACCTCCAGAAGAACGGCAGTGAACCATAGATTTGAGTACCTAGCCTACCAGCCTCATCCATTGATCATGGCCGCCGAAGTCCTCCCTGACCATCGAGCACTGAGAGAAGCTTTTGACTGCGAGATCTTCTCCTCCTCGGGCACTCCGCTTCGATTTGGCTCCCTCTTCTACGACTGCGACGTCTACCCGGCCGAGAAACGAGTCCTTGTCGTCTTTATTAGGCATTTTTTCTGTGGGAATTGTCAGGAATATGTGCGCAGACTGTCGTCGATGGAATCGCCATTCCATCCTTCTCAGAAATCACTCCAATCCTCCACATCAATAGCCTCAATGACGAACTTCTCCAAGCCAGCTTCTCGTACCCTTCCTACAGTCATAATCATTGGCCCCGGCCAGCCTACTCTGATTGCTTCCTACAAGAGCCTGGCGCAGTGTCCTTTTGACATTTACGCGAACCCCTCAACGCGGCTGTACGAGCTCTTGGGAATGCATCGCACACTATCCCTTGGTCACAGAGCCCCCGACTACATTGAGCAGTCCCTCTTCAACGGCGCCCTGAAATCTGCTTGGCAAATTGTCCGCCGTGTGGGCAATGGGGATGCCATGAGCGGAGGAAATTGGGACGTCAATGGTGGCGAGTTCCTTTTCACTAGGTCAGCGAGTGGCACACCCTTGATGAGTTCGAAATCTAGTTCGCCTACAAGGTCAGGATCTAGGAGTAGTCAATCCCGAGAATGGCAAGTTTCATGGTGTCATCGAATGCTCAACTCCAGGGACCACACCGAAATTGTGAACTTGCAATATCACGCCTGTCTTCCAGAGCTGCCATCTCGAGCACACTCGCGCGCCACCTCTCCCACACCACTGAAGTCAATCTTGATCAATGGCGGCAGAGCACATTCTAAAACTCCCTCACGAAGCTACTCTACTGAGCGTCTAGGTTCTTGCCCAGGTCCTGATATCCCCAAATCTCGGGAAGAGGTTCTCTCAAGCCAGCGTTTCATTGGTTTGCACTCTAGGGGGCATTCCAAATCCATATCTCATCATCAACGCCGGTCGCGAAGCACGAGCGTCGGTTCCCAAACGAACAGCAGTGCAAAGCAGAATCACGAAAGAGTCTGGTCAGGTATCAGCAACGCAAGTGCGTCGTGTTTGGAATTGCAACCGACAGCGTCTTATCATGGGGTAGCCAGTCCTATATCCGGGATCGAAGAAGATAACCTGAAGCCACGAAAGAGCTTCTCAGCTACGGTTGCGGAGAGAGTGAGCTTCGGAGCGCTCCTAGGGCGGTCGAGGTCGTTTTCGAGCCCCCCAAGGACTGGTTCTGCCTTGTCTATGTTCGAGGCTGGAGAAGCTGTATATGCCACTCCATCTCGCCCAATCAGCAGGGCGAGTACCTTGAAATCAACGTTGAAATCAACAGCAACTCCCTTTTCGCTTTGCACAGAAACCGGATCCAAGCGAAAGCTTAAAGACGCTAAGCTGTCCTTGTCCAATACAGCCTCTCCCCTTTCCGACCCTTCCATGGCAAAATCTCAACCAAAGCATATGCGATCGAGAACATTCTCCTTCTCCCGGCCCACTCTACCTTTGCGAAGAAGAGCAAAAAGCCAAATTGAGATAGATCAGGACGGCGTGATGTTCGTCGATGGTGTAGAGTTCGTGAACGTCATCAGTTTCAAGGCACGGATCGAGGCTAGCAGTGCTCCAGATCAGAGACGAGAGAGGGCAGATAGTGGGCTCGGCATGGAAGTTGAGAGGCGGAACCACAAAGGAGCTGGAGGAAACCAAATACAACCAGAGGTCCCAGAAAACAAGAAGTATTCAGTGTTGACTACCCTCCCGGAAATCGCTGCTATGACTCGATAAAATTTTGGATCGATGAAAAGCGCGGTAAAGAGTTTTCTCGGGCTGTTGACGCTATACACACCGGACTAAACGGGGCTCTTGGAAGCCTACTGACCAGGAAGCTCCGTTTTTATCTCGTACCGCTATTTGTACACATGAGAATTAGAAGGAGGGACCACCTAGAAGCCAGATCACGTCCGATGAAAACATGGCCTCTCAGGACAAGCTCGGAAGAGCGTATGAAGGCGGTCTAGGTTTGAATCCGGAGGGTAGCTTGCAACAAAAAGCTTTTGGGATATTTGATCATCGGACGATGTGTCCTATCCATAATCCCGATACCTCACTAAATACATAATAAATAAATCTAGAATGCATAGGGCAGTGGCCACTGAGCTTGCGATATATGCTGCTTGGCCAGTGCCTCTCTATGCGTGATCATCAATGAGAACGATATGCTAGGTCTTGTCGTCGATTCATAATGCTATCACTCTGTCCGCAATTCATGGATTTATCGTGTGGAATATGTGCTGGTTCTCCTTAAGTCCCTCTCAAACGGCATTACTGGCGATTGCCGATGAGTTCGGCACAGGTATGCCATTCAGTTCGGAGTCGTTCCGACTGTCCTGATAATTGTCATAGCCATTCCATAGAATGGAGCCACCATCATCGACATGACTTCCCTGTGCATTGACTTGTGCTGCAGGCTCAGCTGAGTGAAGGTCAGGAGTTCGAGAGACAGAGAAACCGGGTAGTGATGAGGCTGGAAATTCAGGGTGTGTTCCAGAGCCGAAAACGTTCGCCTGGATATTTTGACTGGACGGGTTTTGGGTTGCCGTCTCCTCAAAACTCATGAATCCATCACCAGAATCGAACAGCGGCAGTGCGTCAGGGAATCCATTAAGTAGAGATGGACTCGTGATAGAGGAGACATCAATATTCATTGATCGTGTCCGCGGGGCTGGCTGCGGCTGGAAGGCAGAAATATCGTGTGCGTTGGACATGGAAGCCACTCTGGCTTGGCCAATTGCATAGTCGGTCCCATAAGAAGCCCCAACATCTGTCCAGCTGAAAGAGTTGTCACCCAGCTGTCCATCCGAGAAATTCCACGTACCATTGGATTCACTCGGTAGTAGGTCCCAAGGAGTTGGTGTGTCTGCTAGAGGGTCGTACATGTCGGTTTGGGACATGCCAATCATTTCTGGCGGAGAATGTACATGTGAGCAATGTGAGCTGAGGGGCCTGTTAGTCCAGGAATGTTGCTGGATAGGGTAAGTTAAGTAGATGGCATTCGGGTTCAAAGTATCGGAAAAGAACTGCTGAAGCTGTTGTTGGGATACATCGGGTGTTCTTGAGAGGAAAAAGGATGGTTGTCCGCCCATGCACGATCTTGGATTGTTTTGGGGCATAGAAGGGACTTGTGTTAGATTTTGATTCCCAATGTATGCTTGCTCCGCGAGGTTCTTGACTTGTTGCTGGGTATGATTAATCGACGTTGCGTTGTTGGGATGATCGGGGCAGTAAAGACAGGAGCAGCCCGAGCCGCAAGAACAACTGGCCTTCCAGGTTTCACTTGCTGGTTTAGGTTGAAGTCTCTGGGCAGGATCAGGACCAGGTTTCAGAAAGCCAGGATGAGGTTGTATTGCGGCGACATTTTGACGATGTCGACAACCGCCTTTCAGCGAATCGAGCTCGGCATTGGGTTTCCCAGAACCACAACAGGACGACTTGACTTCGTCCGACTTGGCTTCTTCCCTCTCCTTCATGCGCTTTTTCCGATCCTGATATTCTTCATCGTTGATTTCTTTTCCGTTGGCATCTGCCCAGACCTTTTTCAGCGTCATCTTATTCCCATCAGCATCTTCCCAGACTGGTTTTGGTGTTGAGGTTGCATCTCGATCGATGGCGGCTGGGTTATCAACACGGACTATAAGGTACATTTCCTGGGTACAAGCGCAGTCCCTCTCACACTTGCAGGCTTTTGTGGTGCATGCGCAGTTTCTCGGACAGTGACACCCTCTCTTCTGACCTGCCGTAGGACGGCCAGGCTGATTCGTTTCGGAGATGGGCCTTGTCTTGCCATGGTCACATTTATGTACTCGATGGCCTCTCTTGCAGGACTCACATGCGTAGGTCTTGCCGTTGAAATGTTGTATGGCGGGTGTCTCGCTCTTGTATGAGGCCTTTAGCTTTTTGATCTTCCCATCCTCGACCCGAGCAATACCCTTAGGAGGACTGGCGACCTTCTGAGGCGTGGCTGAGGGTTCTTGCATGGTTCTCCGGGGTAATGTAGCGACCCGAGTGTGGTGTTACCACCAAGAACGGAATACGACAGGACGTTCGGTACAGTGCGCGAGGAAAGGCCTCGCCCCCAATTGGATCTCTCAGCAAGCACAGGTAGTGAGCGTGGTCTGATTGGTAAGGGCATCAATGAGAGAGTGACAGTGGTGGAACTGGTCCGAACACAGATCTACCAAGGGAGAGTGTGCCAAATGCAACGATTGACGAGACGCTCTTGAGCACAGCGCAAGTGAGGATGCGACAGCACCGGTAATTGTGAGACAAAGGGCTTGAGGCTGTCTTTGGGCTGTCCTCAAAAAAAAAAAAAGGCGGGTGATTGAGCCCTGCATATGAAAGAGGGTGAATGCAAGATCCGTACAGGCGCAGCCCCAATCGAGGGGAAGCGGCGAGGCGGCGAAAGCGGTGTCGCCTAACCTTCCCTCTTGCCACCAAACTTGGTACCCTTGGACTTATTATGCAGGTCAGCCCACACTTACTTCGTACAGTCAGCGCAATTCTTAGCCAGTCATCGTCTGTGATCACACTCTTGCTCAGTCTTCGTGACATAGTTTTGTTTGTCTCCGGCCTCGATTGCGTCTGGATACAGCTAATCATGGGGTTGGATATGACTGACACCAAAGAAAAACAGGGGACGCGTGCAAAGACTCAGAAAAGCAGTCCGTCGTCGTCGTCGTCGTCGTCCTGGTCTCTTCCTCTACCCATTCGTCGCATCTTCGATCAATTTCCCCTGGTGACATATCCCGCCAATGCCTTGCCCCAGCGGGTTCCTCGACATCGACACGAGAATATTCTTTGCATATTCCAGTCTGATGAACCGACCCCTGGAGATGGCCCTTCCTTCAACCCATCTTGTCTGAAATGGCAAGCCTATCTCAAATTCCACGGCATCCCTCTCCGCACTCGTCCATCGAACAACCACGCCTCCCCAACTGGCGCTCTTCCTTTCCTTCTACCTGCGTCCAGAGATTTCGCTCGGCCAGTTTCTCCCATTCCTGCCAATCGAATAGTGAAGTGGGTGATGTCTCAAGGGGGAAAAGAAGAGGTAGCGCAGTGTCGGCAGGACGCATACACGGCCTTGATTGACCATGCCATAAGAAGCGCTTGGCTCTACTATTTGTATCTGGATGAGGACAATTTCAAGACCGTTGCATGGCCACTGTACGTTGCATCGTCTTCGTCATCCTCGGCCGTCCGGCTGAGCTTAGGTCATCAACTACAAGCTGCCGCGAGAGAAGAACTACTGAAAACAAACGCTGTCATCGACCCCCAAGAACTGTATTCGCGGGCTGAGCAGGCATTTCAATCATTGTCTAATCTGCTAGGAGACGATAAGTTTTTCTTCAGTCAGTCCACGCCGGGCCTTTTCGACGCCAGCCTCTTCGCATACACTCAAATCATTCTTGATGACCACCTCTCCTTCGAGACACGGACGTTGAAGTCGGCCGTGGAGAAGCTTCCAAACCTAGTCCAACACAGAGACCGCCTCCTGCGCGGCTTCTTCTCTAGTTAAGTACCATCATATACTTTTTCTGAGGATGCCTCCGAACCATACTGTCACACCGACCCATTTCTCCGACCGTTGTCCTAGGACTGCGACCGTTGACTGATCCACCCCTCTCTCTTCGATCTGTCCGAGGACTTCAAATCCATTTTCGGAAGCAGCAACCTCGACTTCGGCCACACTGTGTGAGTAACTGGTTGGGCGGATCTTTTCCCCTGTCTTAGGATCGATGAAGCCAGCTTGACTGATTCTGCCCATTTCTGAGTGCATGTTGGTCAACAGCAAGATCCCACCGGGCTTGAGGATTTTGGCGACTGTGGCAAAGAAGACATCTGCAGGGACATGTTCGATGACCAGTGTCGACACCACGGCATCCGCGCCGATGGCACACTCGGGCGGCGATAACTCCCGCAACATGTCATATACCTCGAGCTTCAATTTGGCGTTTGCATGGAAACTCTGCAGTCGCTCTCTTGCCACCCCGAGCATTCCAGGACTAAGATCCAGTCCGATTACTGACTTGGCACCCTGTACCTCCAGCAAAGTCCCCGTGTTCCTTCCCGTCCCGCATCCCAAGTCCACCAATGTCCACGGTCGAGGGTAGAGTGAGACGTCACTGTCTAGAATCTTGAGCATTCGCGGCATCAGAACCTTCATCTCGATGGTATCTAATGCCTGTAGGAAGTTGCCGTCTGTGTCGTACACAGCCGACCAGCGGTCGTAGGCCAGGGCGGTGGGGAGATAGCGGATCGTGGGATCGGAGGATTGTGGGATTACTTGGGACATTGTGATGGTGTTTGATGTTGAACAGAAACCTGGAGGTCAATTGTACTATAGATATAGAGTTGGCCCTCGATCCGTGCACCTTGAGCGTGTCTCCCCTGCAGAAACGAAATTTTGCTATGCGATTGTCTGGGTCTATATTCCGTAGACAACGTCCTTTCCAGTGCCGGAGGTGTGGATTGAAGAAAGACGAACAGGTCTCGGATTTTTTCATAATTTCTCCGCAAGGCTGCCTATCCCCTCTCCTAAATGAGTCACAATCTACTTCACCTAAGACCCCGGCCTAGAAGGTGTTTCCATTTACAGTTGCGTACCCGAAGTTCGGATCAATATGCAAAGAACATTCTAAGCGGCAGGCGGGCCTAAACTATTGGTTCAAATGTAAGGCCAGGCGGAAAGTCTCATGGATTTCGAAAATGGCTCTGAAGCCGGATATGGAAAGATTGTCGCTCAAATCGATCCCTCATAGTCCAGGTTCTTAGAGTACAATGCAGAGTCCTAAGACCCTGTCAGGTATCCCTTTAATCCCACAATCGCCAATTGAGTACACTCAACATCATTTTCCAATCGAGTGGCTTGCCTCAAGTTCGTCTTTCTTCCCCGTCCACTGTTGGGCTCTCTTGTATTCTTACATATTACCCGCCCCAAAGACACCTCCTCCTTCCCTCAAATCCTCCACCAAATCCTGCACATTACTCAAATGCCTTCCTAGCAGGCTTTGCTTCTCTTCGGTCGTCCTTGTATTCCCACAATCTTCCGTGTTCCCAGTATTTCCACCCACGCCACCACCATCCGAAACATTCAAGGTCTCCCCCCTTCTACGTTCAAATGCCGCAATGACTTCTTTTCCCCTCCCTCCAAGAATAGCGGTATTTGTCGCAGAGGTTGGACTTGCAATCTTCGGAGCTGCATTCTCAGGCATGAGATAGAAATAAAGAAACTCGACGAGTTTTAACTTTACTTCGCGGGACGTGCCTCGGGATTTAAATAGAGAGGTGATGACCAGCAGGCCGTCAATGGATTCAAACGTGCGGGTGTTTTGCGGATGGTCGAGTAAAGAGGTTACCAGGGCCATGATGGTGGAGGATTGAATGGCGGGACAGTTTGAGGGGTCAAGAAGGTCGAGGAAGAGCTGCTAAAATTAGGTCCTGAAGATTTTGAAGGGGTAGCAAGGGTAAGGCTTACGTTCATGTATATCTCCTGCGAAAACAGCGCTCGCGAAGGTGGATGTAGTAAGAGGACACCTTGAATGAGATCCAGCGTCTGAATGATCAACAGGTCATTTGTCCCATTGCTTTCCTTTCCCAAGAGTCTCTCTAGACTTGCAACTAGTCTCATGGCAATGTTCCATTGGAAACTCTGCTGCAATTTGAAGAATTCACGAAAGGCGGGATCGGACGGCAGGTCTGAAAGCTTCTTCGAGTGTGGTGAAGAAGGTGCTGATGACCCCAGAAGAAGCATCGACTGTCGTTTATTCGCCGCGTTGTTGGTTCTGGACAGGCATAGTTGGGCAAGCAAACCTTCTACCTGGCGGAGTCCTTTGCGGATCTTCTGAGGAGAGCTTGAGGAGAGGTAGTCAAAGGAGTGTGACAGCAAGGCCTCCATTACGGCGGTATGTGGCCCAGGTACAAGCACGATGGAATCGTACAGCATATACCGCCTCGTTAAAGATAAGAATGGACGAGAAACGCACGAACGAGTACTGCACCTATTAGTATCAACATACAAGTTGTCAGGGCGACCATGCGGGGGAGGCGGCTCAGTGGCACAGTGACCTCCCGAGTCCCCCTCGCGAGCTCGGTTTTGTTCGCTCCACCCGCTACCCGCCCATTGCACAACACTTGGGCGCCCCGTTCTGGAGCCAGCGATCAGGTGGCCCAAGTGGGTTGATAAGCGTCAGGCACCAGAATAAGCCCACTAGCTTAGGTGGTCTCTGGTCTCTTTGTCGAATCGGTGCCTAGGGTCAGTAATAGCAGCGCCTAGCCTTGTTGCGTGTCGTCATGGACCTCATGTGATGATCCGTCAAATCTACCTAATACCACCTGGATACTTGTGGTCTTCGGTACGGCTTGTCACCAACACCAAAGCATAACTCTATTACCACCCACCTTCTCAACCTTTCAGTCTTCTCCAGAAACTCGGTTTACTTGAAAAGCTCTCCTTCTTTCCTGTCTCCCTTCGCTTCCCTGATCGAAAGTGAATCTTACTCACCGCTAGAGGACAACCTGTGGAGTCCCCCGCCTCATCCCGCATTTTCACATGCAGTCTTCTCAGGAATAAATTCAACACGCATGTCGAACACTTCAGCAGAAAACCCGACTTCTCCTAACGCCATTCCTGTTCGCTACAGCTCCGCTGGTGTGTCCAATGGCCTCCACAATCAGCCTTCCAAATCCGTCCTCAAGCCTCTCCCAGAGGACTCCTGGATTTCGTCGAAGCACCATTCGATGCCGCCCACGATGAGTCCCGGACCCGTCCTCTCCGACCACACGAACAGCCTCAAACGCAGACATTCTAAGAAGAGTTCTGCTCCAGAGAATCTAATATCTAGGAGACCGGGAGAGTGGTCGCCGCAGAAAGAGAAGATCATAATGGGCCCTTATGACTACCTGTTCGCTCACCCAGGAAAGGATATCCGTTCAGCCTTGATCAAGGCGTTCGACTCTTTTTTACATGTTCCATCAAAGT